AGATGACTTACCTACCCCTAATAAGATCTATTGGTGGAAACTCAGCATTTAGTGAATTATGATTGGTCCAAATTAGTTTGAGTGCTGTCATAGGCAGTTCAAGCGCATACAAAATTCAAGTAAGGTCGGATATGTGATGATATTCATCCATAACGTTTTATTTATTAACACCTCAGGTTGATGTTCGCGGGCCCGGCACACACCGATGGGCATAGCAACACCTTAAGGTAGCGCAAAGTTAGCATTGCTAATGCGTAGTAGCACTGCTGACAGACGAGCTGCGTGTTAACCGTATTTAGACTCTAAATTTTAGAGGTTCGTAGCTTACGAATCGTAAGAGGGGGATCAGCTAGAAGGTTGCACGTGGCGCATCAGGTGCCAATCATGTCGTCAGCTAAACTACCGCGAGGAAGCCGACCAGACTGGGGCCCAGTGGAGCTCCATCGCCACATTGATGTGTCAGAGATCGCCTTAGTACTCTGCTACGAAGGCGTCAGGCGACTCCAGCGCGTGTTGACTCGTACTCGACAATTGCACTTCCAGATCAGCGAAAATAGAACTGCCAAATATGAGTCTCTTTGGGAGCACTTACCGATACCCACTATTGACAAACGCGATCAATTGGTAAAAAAAAAAAACGGCTTAAATCAGACCTAACCCTCCCGTAGAGTTATCAAAGCATAGTGAGCTCAGGTTAAATTGAGCCCGTGGGATTTCGGGTCGGCTTCGGTTGTGACGCGCCAGACGCGATCTTGGTTCGAGAAATTCCGCCTCAGCCATTCTGGAAGCAAGTCATTTCTCGATCCGCCGCCACCACCGCAAAAGAGAAGAGATTGCTCTGCCCTTCGATCTTCCCATCGAACGCCTAGCGCCATTCACCCGACTGCGCCTCCAGGATGAAGTTCCACGACAAGGAGGTGCTCAATGACACGTGGACGCAGTTCCTGGCGCTATGCCTGCTGCTGATGCTGGCCGTCGACTCGCTCAAGTACGTCCTGTGACACACTGCGTGTGCTTAAAACTCTCCCTCTAACAATTCACCCTCTGTATGCAGCCCCATCAAGGCCGTGAGCAAGTTCCTAGGCCTACCGTCCTACTACTGGGGCGTTCTGGCCGTGGGCATGATGCTCGGTCTGCTGTTCCACAACGCAGCCGACGTCATCTACCGCTCCACACGCGTCTTCCTCAACAGTATCCTCAGTATCTCATTCAAGAGTGTGGATCTCATCGGGCTGGACAATGTCCCCACCGAGGGTCCAGTTATCTTCACTGGCAACCACGCGAACCAGTTCGTCGACGGTCTTGTGGTCATGATGACCAGTCCTCGTAAAGTGGGCTTCATGATTGCAGAAAAGTCGTGGCACTTGCCTGTTGTGGGCCACTTGGCTCGTATTATGGGTTGCATCCCGGTGGTGCGTCCTCAGGACTCCGTGGCCACTGGTGTTGGCAAGATTAAGCTCGTTAGTGACGAAGCCGTGACTCCTGCGAGCTCGTCCAGCGGCGGTGCCAGCAGTGGCAAACCTCAATGGCTAGTACAGGGTGACGGTACCAGCTTCACTAAGCAGGTGACGCCCGGTGATCAGATCCGCTTCCAAGGAAAGAGCGTCAAGGACTCTGGCTCGCCAGTGAAGATCGTGCAGGTGCTGGACGACTCGCAGTTGCTACTGAACGCGCCGTTGAAGGACGGCAAAGGCAAATTGGTGCTGGAGAACACCCCGTTTGGCATTCTGAAGCGCGTGGACCAATCAGTGACGTTTGCCAAGGTGTACACGCACTTGAAGCGTGGAAACTGCATCGGTATCTTCCCTGAAGGAGGCTCACACGACCGTACGGACCTGTTACCGCTTAAAGCTGGTGTTGCCATCATGGCTCTTGGAGTTAAAGACAAGTACAACATCAACGTGCCTGTGGTGCCTGTGGGGTTGAACTACTTCCGTGGCCATCGCTTCCGTGGGCGTGTGACTGTGGAGTTCGGTACTCCGATTACTGTGGACCAAACGCTGATGGCCAAGTACCAGGAAGACAAACGTACAGCTTGCAACACGTTCCTGCATCGTGTGGAGGAGAGTATGCGCTCCGTGATCGTGACTACGCCCAGCTACGGCGTCATGCAGGAAGTGCTGACTGCGCGTCGTCTGTTCCAGCGCTCTGGTGTGCGTTTGTCGGCCAAGGAGACACAGGATCTGAATCGCCGCTTTGCTGAAGGCTACAAGGTGCTGCAGGATGTGCCAGAAGCGCAGGAAGATCTCGTGGCTCTGCAACACAAGCTGGATAACTACTACAAGACGCTGCAGAAGATGGGACTCAAGGATCACCAGGTGCCTTACATCCCGTGGTGGACCATTCACGACGTGTTGGGCTCAGCACTGTACGGCACGCTGATCCTTCTGCTATCTTCTATCCCTTCGTTCATTCTGAATGCGCCTGTGGGGATTCTAGCTCGTTATGTGGCCAACTCGGCGCAGAAGAAGGCGCTTGAAGGCTCCAAGGTCAAGGTGATGGCTCGCGACGTCATTCTCAGCAAGAAGATCCAATTCTCGATCGTGGCCGTGCCGGTGTTGTGGTTCATTTACTTTATGGCGGCTGTGGTCTTCACGGACTGGTACTGGTCGTCCATTATGCTGCTCATGGTGTCGTTTCCGCTCTTCTCATTCTTCGGCGTACGCTCTGTGGAGGCTGGAATGATCGAGCTGAAGACTGTCCGTCCGCTGTTCTACCGTCTTCTACCGACGTACAAGGCCACTCAGGATGAGTTGCCGCGTCAGCGTGCTGAGTTACAGAAGGAAGTGCGCGAGTTCGTGAAGAAATACTCGCCGTATCTGGGCAAACTGGCCGAGCCGAAGAAGCTTGACTGGAGCGAGTACATGCACGAACGTTCGTTGGTGGTGGCTGAGAAGACCAAACAGGCCGAGTCGATTCCGTCTCCTCCTCCGGCCCATGATGACAACGAGGAGCCCCGTGAGCGCGAAGCTGAAGACGACATTGGCTCTCCCGTGCCGACTATCACCAAATTCCACGACATTAGTATTCTGGGCAAGTCGGAGAACTCGGTGTTAGACTTGGCAGGTCTCGAACGCTCCATGTCTTGTCCACCGGGATATCAAGAGTTAGCGGAGGAGATAGCCAAGCAGCGTCAAGGATCTGTTTAGACTGTTGAATCAAGAAGAAAATGTGCCACCGTGACCTGGTTACTCGCTACGATGGCAAGACAGTCATAAAATTCATGAAGCGATACATATTCATTCACTTGTTCCTCTTCTCTAACTCATGTAACACTAGACGTCACTTACTTGTGGAAGATGGAGCCACGACGCAGAGCGTTCACGGCTTCCTCGCGGTCCTTGTCGCTCAGCAGGTTGAGCACCTCGAGGATACCGGCGACGGCGGCCTTGGGGTCCTTGCGGCCGATCTCGACAACCTGCGAGGCCATCTGCTCCTGGCGCAGCTCAGCCACGCGCGAGGCGATCCACTCCTTGTCGCTCGACAGCCACAGCAACACGTCCGAGTCGCCGTGCGACCACAGCTCGTCCACCGACACGTTCTGTTGGCGCGGCACACGGCCGCCGTTCACCGCCTCCGTGAACCAGCCCTTAAGCACCAGTTCAGAGCCCACGAACGTTGTAGCGCGCGGGCCGCCGGCGCTGGCAGCCACCACCTGGCGACGCAGCGAGAACTCGGCGAGCTGACGCTTGAGACGCCAGTAGAAGAACTTGCGCGAGTTCGACCAGGGCACAACCTGACGGATGCAACCCACGGCCTTCATACGGCCGGGCGTGTCGTGACGGTCACCAAACTCCGTGGCCACCTGCACGTAGATCGGTAGGAGAGTCTCCTCACGGGTCTTGATCTCAGCCGAAATCTTGGCTCCCTCGGTCTCCTTCTGCTCAGGCGACAGCTCAGCCAGACGAGCGGTGAGCTGCTTGAGCTTGTCGTCCAAGCGATGCATGGTCTGCAAGAGCTGCTTCTTGCGGTACTTGATCTCAATCAGACCGGCCGGCTCAAGCACACCACCGCGGCCCTGCGGGTCGGCGTACATCTCCATGATACCCTCGTTGATGGTAGGGTCCACCACGGCCCAGGCGCCACCACGCAGCTCAGCGAACGGCGGGATGTACACGAACACGGGCTGCTCGTAGTTGACGAGGCCATCCACGATCGCAGCACCAAACTTGAGCACCTCGTCGAACATGTCGCGCTGGCCACCGGAGAAACCACGCCAGTTGGCCAGGATGAACAGCGGCAGGTCCTCGCCCTTGAAGTCCTTGATGGCAGTAGCCGTCTTGTGGGCGGAGTCCGGGAACCACACCTGTCCGGCCTGCTGCATCAGGTTCTCCTGCGACGCAGGGGTGGCCGGGTCAGCCGGGATAACCTTCTCGGACGTGCGCACCTCGGTGACGACCACACCGCACGGGATGCCACCAAGACGGCCACGGCCGACGATCACGCTCTTGGCCCAGCCGTCAAGCGTCTCACGGAACGAGTCCTTGTCCATAAGACCGGAGATCCACTTGCCCGTCGACTCGTCCACCTTACCCGCCAGCAGCGCACGCGGGTCGTACTGCGTGCTCTTGTCCGCGGGACAGAAGTCCACCGTACGCTCGATCTCATCCACACCGGTCAGGTCGCGGATCGGGAGCGGGCCGCGACGAACAGCCGGCACGAAGCTCAGCCACTCGAGGATAGAGTAGATGCCCGAGAGGTGGTTCTTCGCCGTCAGGTGCGTCACACCGTTCGTGTGCATGATCTTCACACCACCAAGCTGGTCATTCGACGTGTACACCTCCTTGCCCATGAGCTTGTTCAGCGCCTGGTAGCCCGTCAGGATGATCGGCGAGTGCGTAGCGTTCTGCACCGTACGCTGACCCAGACGGACCAAGTAGGCACCGATACCGACACTGCGGCCGCAGGCGTACGTCAGCGTGAACACGTCCTGGTACGCGCGCGACGTCTCGCCGGCAATTGTACCACTGCCACGCAGGCACTCCACACCAAGATCAATCTCGCGACCGACGATGTCGTTCAGCACGTAGCGCTCCTCACCCGTGCTGGTGACCAGCAGCTCAGCGTTAACGGATCCCTCGGCCGACGCAACCTTGTAGTCCTCAGGCGTCAAGTACAGGTACTCGAAGCCCTTGGTGGGGTTGGTCTCATCCTTCCAACAGACCTTGTACAGCGCCTTAATGGACTCGGCCATACCGATGCGAGCACCAGCGTTGGCAGAGAAGAAGAAACGAGGAATACCCTTGGAGCGAGCCAGCTTGGACGCCAGGTCGAACAGCGTGTCCTCGCGAGTACCGAAGGAACCAGCCTTGAACGTGATGTCGTTGGCGATGATGATGATCTCACGTCCGTCCGGGAACTCTGGCGTGTACAGCGTCAGCAGCCACGCCACCATGCCGATGTCGTTCTGGCCACGCGGGCGCGTAGTCTCCGTCAGCGCCTTGCCCGTCGCGTCCAGGATCAGCTCGCGCGTTTCCATCAACAGGTTCGGGATGGTGATCTTCGAGCCGCCACCGCGCGTACGTTGCTGCACGTACTTGCGCCACTGACGCAACAGGTTGTACTCGATGAGCTCCAGGAAGTCGTAGACGTACACCGTGTTGGACATGGCCTTGGCCATCTGACGCTTCTTGTCGAACGGGAACACGACCGGGTACGGCGTCGTGACCGGCATGCCGTCCAGCTCGCCGTGCGTCTCGTCACCGATCGAGGTGAAGATGGGCTCATCGTGGCCAGCAGCCTCGACGTACGCCTGCACGCGCACCACGTAACCCGTCGGGTTCTCAGCCACGAGACGCACCGGGATCGCCGGGGCTTCGCTGTTGAAGCGAGCAATGATCTTGAGCTCCACCGTGGACACACCAAGCTGCTCCAGACGCTCAGCGTAACGGTACGCCAGAATACGGATGACGCCCTCCAGGTACTGCGGGTCCACAATGGCCTGAGGCAGGATGTTGAGGTACACGTGGTTGTTCTTGGTCGGCAGCGACGACTTCTTGACCAGAGGGTTGGACAGGTTCACCTCCAGAGCGTTCAGAGCATCGACAAGCGAACGTTCAGGGCCCGGGTACGCGTCATACTGCGAACGAGAGCCGCTGCCGTCGTGGTCGAGCTGACGAACCACCGCACGAACAAAGATGCGCTGGAAGCGGTCGGTCACGATGTGCGCGTCCGACTCCTTGATCTTGGCCAGATACAGGTGAACGTTCTTGTTCTCCGACGTCAAAGGCGTCACGCTGTAGTTCTGCAGACGACGCAGCTCCAGCTTGTAGGCGAGTGGGGCCTCCATGTGGCGCAAGATCTTGTCCTCGCTGTAGGCCAGACGGCCAGGGAACGTGTAGATGTTCGGGTACAGCGCCATGTCTGCGTTGTGAACCGAGACGTTCTCAATGTTCTGCGGACGCACCGAGAAGGTCACGCGACGAATGTTGTGCGCGCGCAGATCGTCGTCCACCGACTTGAGGTACGCCTCAGCCTGTTCCAAAAGCTTGGACTCCTCTGAGTGCTCGTCCACCAAAATGACGTGCAGGACGTTCACAAGCGGGTCCTTGCGCACCGACAGCGTCTTCTTTGCCAACGGGAACAGCGACATAACATCCGTGAACGCCTTCTGGAACGCCTCGAGGTTCGCAAGACGAATAATGGCACCGTGACGCTCGAAGCTGGGCGAGATCTTCTGGTAGCTCTCGACAGGCTTGGCAAGCGGCTTCTCGATCTGTTCCTGTTCCTCGTTGGAATCCTCAGAGTTGTGTTCGCCCAGGTCCAGCGAGCTGGCAGAGCTGTTGCGACGCAGAAGACTCGCCAGGTCGTCGTAACTCTCAGCAGGAGCAACGCCGACAGCCAGTGCATCGACAACCGGCGACTTGAACTGGAACGTCTTGGCAAAGATGTCGTTGAAGCTCATGGTCTCCATCGACTCGATGAGGTACGAGCGGTACACACGCAGAGCGTACAGCTCCAGCGCCAACTCACGGATCTTCTGGTCTTCGTGGTCGAGCAGCGAAATGAGCAGGTCGAAGAGCGGCTGGGACTGATCCAGCAGGTTCGCGCAGGCTTCAGCAAGGTTCGTGGACGAGCCGTTGGCGATGTAGTCCTTGAGGACCTTCTCCACTTGGCTAAGACGGTCGCGGTACGACGGCATCTTGTTGTCAATCAGAAGCTGACGCGCCTCCAGAGCCACCAGCGAGTACTGCTTCTCCTTGAACGTGGCCAGCTTCTCGAGGAGCGGCACAAACGCAGCAGACTTCATCGACTTGCGCGGAGCCACAGCCGTGCCGCGGGCCATCTGCGCAAGAAGCTGCAGCAGCAGCTTGTTCTTCGCCTCCAGAGCCTTGTGCGAGCGCGCGATAGAGAACACCTTGTTGAGATCCGCCGAGTTCTGCTGACGCAGAGCCATCACCACATCCTCAATGTTGTGCGAGTTAGCGTACACAGTCTCCACGGTGAAGTATTCGTTGATCAGCTCGGTCAGAACCGCCTCCTCGCCAGAGATCAGGCCGTGCTTGTACTTGGTGGTAATATCACGGAGCGCCACGATAGAAGCCTCAAAGTCCGAACGCTTGCGGTCCGTGTCGAGCGTCTTCTTGTGCTCGTCCAGGATCTCAGCAACCTCAGCGACGTTGAACTCGTGGGTAGCATTGGGCTCCTCGGCCACAGCCTTCTTGAACGTCTGGATCTTGTCCGTGACCTTCGCGAACACGTCAAGCGGAATACGACCGGCGAGCGATGACATGGCCTCCTTGATCTCCTCCACGGGCAGCAGAGGCTCCTTGAGCACCTGGAACAGGTCAACCAAAGCCTTCTGCGTAAGATCCTCGGGCGCGTAGTAACCCTGCAGCACACTCTTCAGCAAAGCGAGAGACTTGCGCATCTTGTGCACCGACTTGGTGCTGTTTCCGTTGGTGTTCTCCGAGGACGGAAGCTTGCCCATGAACACGTCAGACTTCTTGACACACGACGGATCATCCAGCTCCATAGTAGCGATGCAGTCGCCAGGCGCCAACACAGCACCCTCCGACTTGAGAAGACGGATAACACCAGCCTCCGGAGTCAGTAGCGGCATGTACATCTTCATCACTTCAATCTCAGCGTACGGCATACCGCGACGCAGACTGGCACCGTCGTCCACCAGGTAACGAGCGAGCTTACCGGCCGTGTTGGTCACCAGACGCGTGGGGTCGTATTCCTTAGTGAACACGCACGTGTGGCTGTCAACAACAAGACGCAGACCTTGTGCCTCCTTGGTAGCGTACGCAACGTGCGACTTGCCGTTCAGCAGCACCAGGAAACCTCCGTCCGACAGCGTACGGATCTCCACCTGCACGTACGAGTCGTTGCAGAACAGAGTGAACTGGATGGGGCCACTACGGCACGCCTTGATGTTGTACTTGATACCTTCGTAAATGAGCTCCAGCGACTCTTCTTGAGACAGCAACTGACTGTGAGGAAGCTGACCGCGCTCGATCTGACTAACGTACTCCTCCTGAAGCGCATTCGACGCCTGATACGCGCAGCACACGGCTCCAACCAGAACCACCATCAAGGGGTCCGGACGGCCCTGCAGACGCACTTCGTTGTGGTGCGAGATACGCTCATCCAGCCAGGACGTGGAGATGCGGTTGTACTTAAAATCGTCGGACTCCATCATGTTGACAATGTACTCCACTGTCGTATGGATATCACCACGGATCGACAGCTCCTTGAGCGCCAGAATCATGTTCTTACGGGCCTTTTCACGGGTCGGGCTCCACGAGAACAAGTGACCAATCTGCGAGTCAGCGAACTCGTGCACCTGGCCGGACGAATCCACCGAGAAGTAGCCCCAAACATCGGGCGTACTGCGAAAGTTGAGCTCCTGGATGGCACCACTGGTGGGCTGGAAACCGGCGTTCGGGTCCTCGGCGGTAATACGCGCAGCGATAACGTGTCCATGCGGAGGCTTCTGCTTCTCCGTGTCGAAGTCAATAGGACTCGTCTCGAACGCATCCTTGTTGTACAGACGACGCACATCCGGGATGCAGTGCAACGGAATGCCCATAGCCACCTGCAGTTGAGCAGCCGGCAGGTTCACGTGCGTGATCATTTCTGTGACGGGGTGTTCCACCTGCAGGCGCGGGTTAAGCTCCAGGAAAAAGAACGAGTTGCCGTTGTCCTCCGGTAGCTCACTGAACAGGTACTCAACGGTACCGGCGTTGACGTACTCGACCTCCTTGGCAAGACGAGTGGCAGCGCGCATCATTTTCTCCCACACTTCTTCAGTGGGTGCGAGCACGGGGCCTTCCTCGACGATCTTCTGGTGGCGACGCTGCACGGAGCAGTCACGGCCACTGAGCGCGATAGCGTTACCGTAAGTATCAGCCAGTAGCTGCACCTCCAAGTGACGTGACTTGGGTGCCAGCTTCATGACGAAGATTGGAGAGCCGGGGATTTCACCACGCACAGCTTCCCAGGCACTTAGCACCTGGGACTCTTCGTGGACCATACGGATACCCTTGCCACCTCCACCTTCGCTGGCCTTAATCATGACGGGGAAGCCGATACGTTTGCATTCGTCCAGACAGTGCTGACCGTCGCGCAACATAGCGGCGTTGTAGATCTCGTCGGGGATACCGTCGTGTGCCTTATAGTCGACTTCCATGCCGTCGCCATTCCAGGCGATCGTGGGCACCTTGGCACTCTGCGCAATGATAGTGGAGCCGATCTTGTCGCCCAATGCACGCATGGGCTTGCCCGGGGGACCGATGAAGACGATCTTACGCTCAGTCTGAGCAAGCGTGTCGGGCAGCAGCGGGTTCTCGGAGGCGTGACCCCAGCCGGCCCAGACAGCGTCGACGTTGAAACGCTCAGCGATCTCGATGATGAGAGATACGTTGGCGTAGTTATGGTTGTTGGAGCCGCCTGGCACTTCGACGACGTGCTCGGCCATGCGGATGTACTCTGCGTTGGCCTTCAGGTCCTCGGGCGTGGCCATAACGACGAAGGACACGACGTGCTCGTCAGCGAACATCTCGTAGCTCCAGCTACGGATACTGCGGATGGCCTTGACGGCCGAGATACCGTTGTTGGCGATAAGGACAGACGTGATAGCGCGCGTGCCCTTCTGCAGACGCACGTACTCCTCCATGCTTGAGTAGTTGAGCGGGTTGCTGTCACTGCGTGTCTCCGCGTTAGCCGCAACCTCAGCGGCGGTGGGTGCTTCCTGGGCCACCATGTTTTGCGTGTCGGGTGTCGTCTCCCCTGCAGCTCCAGTTGTGGAATGGCCGGTCATGGCAAGGAGGTGGAGAGAAGGAGGAGAAGTTGCTTCGTTCTTGTTCGCTGCGGGTGGTGGGCGTGCGTGGAATGCCGGGCACCAGCGGCTACGAGACGGACCATCACTCCAAGATGCATTTGTGCGTGGTGAAACGCTGTTTTGACCAATCCTATCGTATTAAATGCGTATCTTCACGTTGGTTTGCTAAAATTGCATCATACAAATACCAAGTGATGTTTCAGGCTGGTTGTCAGCGTCGATTTTTTGAGGGTCGCAAGCGCGTCATCGCTCGGGCGGCTTAGGGCTGTTGAGCGCCGAATGACGTACACGCCCCGCATACAAAAGCTAGGATAACAGCAAGGAGTGTGAGATGCGCTACAAGACCTGGTGGACCAGTAAGCGCTGTCACTTGGCAACTCCTTGACACGCCATAGCTGATTTCTTTGCGCTTCGCTTGCTTTCTTCGAATCGAACGCACGCGCGGTAGCCGATATCGCGATGCAAAGGTCTCAGTCACAGCTTGAATGTGGGGTCAAGGTCATTGACTAAAGGGGGCCGGGGAATGCATGCAGAAGGATAGAGAGAGAGCGTTTTACATGAGGAAGGCGCGCGACAATATACTAAGAGCGTGCAGACGGCCTGGTTTCCAGATCGAAGACCCGTGCCGGAGTCTGGTGACCAAATGTGGGGTGGATAAAGCTTATCAAAAACGGCAACAAGTGACGTCAGTTATGGGTACAGCCCTATGAGGTGTGACGCGTCAACTCCGGAAACGCTTGGAAAAGATGGTACCATATTCACCGGTTAAATAAGACTTATATGGTGCGAACAATCAGATCCATTTCAAAACATAGACGAGACGTTGAGATGCTGGTGATGCCTCCGACGTGTCAATCTGGTGACGCGCTACATGGACCACTTTCAGCGGATGCTGAGGCCTCATGAGGAGGGACACCATGGAGCAATTTCTTCAAGAAATTCTTGTTGCATCGGCGTGCTGGTGGATCCAAATTTGTCGTCGGCGATTGAGAACTGTTAGTCAAGCCCCAGATGATGGACTATAACGCTGGGAGCCAAAGGGGTCACGATTTGAAGAAGAAAACGTAACTTGGAAGGTGGACTTGTCAAAATGCTTAGCTATCTGGAGACTAATGATCCAAGAGGTGCCCTCCACGTGCGCGTGGGAAGGTCACTGCTTCGCCAGTACCTGGATCTCGAGCTTTTCATTGACTATACGCTGCTCGATAATCGTGGCTTCCAGTGATTCGTAGACAACTCGCACAATACGGCGGAAGGACATGCCATTCTGCTGGTCCTCGCTTCTCCAGAGTTTTCAATCATTCGGTAGCTACAGTATTCATCCGTCCAGGTAGGTTCATGTTTGAAAGTCGTCCTGGCGATGCCAATTTAAGGACGTCAAACCCCGGTGTCGAGCCAAGAAGGTGTCGTCAACGATTATAGGCCATGTCCGATCCGACAAATTTCATCGCCAAGTTCATTAAACAGAAGACGACGGTGCGGAAGCGTGAGTTTGGGAAACATTTGCAGACGTCATTCAATTTACTGCACGATAAGGACATCTGACAACCCCTGACGAGTTGAGGTCAGCACCAGTTCTGCGCGAAACAGGACGTGTCTACCGAGGTTGGCTAGGGAGAAGACGGAAAGGTGCACGAGGCTGGTTCTTGTTCTACCAAGTTTGCACGTCGTACTTGACGGTCCTAAAAAAACTGGTCTTCACATTGGCGCTCGGTGTACCTTTAGGCGATTAATATGGTGAATTGAGACTGACAACAGAAGTGCTGCACCGGCCTGGGCTCAAGTGGTCACTCGCTTCTCAGCAGAAAGCTTGATCACGACGATCGAGAGCCTGTTAGCTGGCACTGGTATAGCAACTGGAGAACCTGATGTAGCTGCTGGAGAATCTGGTGTAGCTGGTGGTCGAACTCGATACGTTGGTTCGACATGGATCCTTTCACTTCTTGCAATGCGACTTTCACTTCAAGAAGCTGTTCGTTGGTGTTGTGCTGGTTCTCCCGAATCGCAGCCTTTAGCTTTTTGTGCTTCTTCAACTGCCGCGCCTCTAGTTTTTCGCTGGCGGCAATCTGCTCGATAACATTGACATCCAGTGTCTCCCGAACAGCTCGCTCAATTCCAACTATCTAGCTCTTGAATGTGTCCTTGGCGTCTTGGATACCAACGTCAACTCGTTGCGCAACAATGTCTGCCGCCAGCTGTGCGAAGAGCTCCATAGTACGCTCCGACATAGAATCTGAAACGTTGGCTTGGCTCTTCATGCTGGCATCGCTGTCTTCGCTGCTGCTTTCCACACTCACGTGGTCGGACGATCCGAGACGAGCTCGTTTGCAGCCTCTTTTCTCGCTAGAAGACATTGTTTCTGATGAGTGGTGAAAGGTTGAATGAGCATGGGTGATAGCTCTACCGGAGCTTCTACTGCACAATCCCCCAGATTGTCACTCAAGTACTGTCTGTAGCTTTGCAAGATCACGAACAGTAAATTCACATGGAGCCGCAAAAGCGATCGATACGTATCCACTGATCTACTACTACGACAGCCATCAGCTCTAGCAAAGAACATGCTAAGTTCGCCGCTTCTTGGCCGGTGCCTTGCGAGGTGCTTTCTTTCCTGCTGCAGTGGGTGCCTTGCGCTTTGCACCTCCGCGTGATTTCTTCTGAAACTTGCTAACATCCAGATCCTCCTCCTCTTCCGGTTCGCTTTCAGCATCCGACGGCGGAGGCAAACCACCGTCATCGTCTTTGGTGGCGGCTGCCTTTCCTCGTCCTTTCTTAATGGTAGTTGATCCAAGTACCGACTCCACAACTGCTTGCGACTTGTGGGAAGCCTTGTTGTACCTGCAGTAAATAAGGAGAGCAACATGACAGTGAGCGTACAGTGTGGTGGAGGGAAGCAGACAGATGTGCACAACTTACATTCGCGTAAACGCCGTCTTTGCCTTGGTGTCGAGTTCTGAGTAGGAGTGGCGTTTTACGCCAGGGAACTTGAAGCTCTCCATGGACTCTGTCAGGTCTTCTCGGGTGATCTCGCATTCATCTAGCAGCTCGATAACCTCGTGGATATTCTGAACAAATCGCAGTAAGATCGAACTGCCATACACCAAACAACAAAACACACGCAAAATAAACGTACATCCTCCCCTGATAGCAGCTTCTTCAGCAGAATTTCCTTCATGTACGGCACGTAGTCGAGACGAATGACTGCGGCAGATTCAAGTTAGTATCTACAGTAACTCGATAAAAGGAATAACAAACACACAAACCTTCTCGGGAACCAGAGGCGTGTGATCGCATTCGGACTGACAGTTCACTGAGCAACCGCTTCGACTTGGATGCCGACGAGTTCTTTCCCAGCCATCTACAAGGAAACATAAACGTTCGTAAGTGCAATCATGCCAGGCAACCCTAGCATGAACGTACTTGGAAAACTCCGGGTGGCCGATGAACCCGGCCGAGTAGACGCAGGCACCTACATTCATGGCTGCCTGTTTCGTGAGCAGATCCCATCGCTGTTCCACGCGAACGTAGGTATTCAAGAGGTCGCTCTCTGAGATGAATTCCGACGCGTGCATGGCTGCTTCTAGGTTTTCGTCCGATGATCTCCGGTTGTTCATGATACTCTGGATGTAGTTTTCCTGAACCATCAGCGGCATCAAGTCGTAGTCAACAAAATACGCCTCATTCCTCGCGTCAAACGAGAGATCACGCTGGAAAATCTGTTGTGTGGCGCTGAACGGGTTCAACCGCAAACTCTCGTCCTTGTTGTGCTGCGAGGACGGGTTCACCATATCCGCGTACGTGATCTTAGTGGTGGTAAGACGCCATCTCTGCATCTGAGTGAGCAGTTGTCGAATATCGTTGCCACATCGCTCAGCAGCTTCTTCAATTGCGTTCTTCTCCATGTTAAGTCCTTCTTTCAAGCCGATCTCCATGAGTCTCTTGCCGATTTGAATCTTGGTGGGGCGACGCATACGCAGATCAAATGAGTGGTTTGCCAGTGATCGCACCTTCTGGCTCTGACGATCGTTGCAAATACAAATGATCGGAGTCTTCGACTTCTTGATAAGCTGAATCAGCTCAGCCGTTCCGCCGCGATCACCACCTGACATACCGTCAACCTCGTCCATGATGATCACACGACGCGCGAGATGCATTTTCTCCTTGGATTTCCCAGTAGGAGCACCGAATTGAAGCGCCTGCGTTCCTAGCACGTCCTTGAGTCCCGTTTGCAGCATTTTCTTGCTGCGGGTGTCACTCGCGTTCAGTTCCGTGCACTCAAATCCGACCTCACGAGCAACCAGATTTGCAATCGTGGTCTTGCCAATACCTGGTGGCCCTGACAGCAGCACAGTCTTCGCTCCGCGGTTCTCAGACAACTTTGTCGAGAACGGGACTTTCTTGGTCCCTTTCACGTGCATGGCCTCCCAGTCCAGAAGCCACGTCTTCAACTTCCTGCCCAGCTCGATGTTGCCAATCATGTGATCCAGAGTTTGAGGCTTGTACTTATCAGTCCACAGCTCGTCGTTGATCGATCTATCATACAAAATACAGAAATTAACAGTTCAAAATTTCTCAAACCAGAGCAGTTTTCGGAAAACTTGAGCAGATACGTACGAGCTCAGCTTCTGTTTGCCTTTCGTGGAAGCAGTCTTTCCACCAGCTTCAGCCTTTATCTTCGCCTTCTCAGCCGCTAAATCCTGTGCCTGCTGAGCTGTTGCAGCCTCCGTAATGAGGTTGTAAAACTCATTCTGCGTCAAGATTCGGACGTTCTTCGCCACGGCTTCCTTGTATTTGGAGCCATCCGTCACATTGCCACCTTGCTCCAATGTAGCTCCAATCACCAAAAACTTCGTACTGCGCGTAATACTGTTCGCAACAGATCCACCGCAGCTTTTAACAAGATGCACCGCATCCTCGCGCGACAGACTTTCTAGCACACCGGAGAACGTGAACGTCTTACCATCTAGACATCCAGAACACGGTGCAGGCACCTTCTTCAACACACCTTCCTGCTTCATAATGGCTTGGTCTGAATCATCAGTTGCAGTACGAGTAGAGGACGATTTTATAGGCTTTTTACTCTCCATCTTGACCTCCATCTTCACGTCGGTCTTCGTCTTCACTTCCGGCATCTCCTCGTCCTCGTCACTATCAGCTTTGGCAGCACGACGTAGCCGCTTAAGAGGTTCCTTCTTGGGTTTCACCTCCTGCACTTCGTCGTCGCTGGGCTGCATCTCAAAGTCTGAATCGGAATCCACACGCTGTGTCTTCTTCTTAGTTGGTACTTTGCGCTTGCTACTGACATCATCCTCGTCCTCATCGCTGTCGTCTAGCACCACCACGTTCTGCTTGGCGGAGCGGCGAGCTACTGGGCGTGACGGAGGCGTGGGTTCCGGCTCTGCTCGCTTGGCTGCTGTAAGAAACACCAATCAATGGTTATGGCACACTTCAGAAAACGAGGAGGCTGCTATTGCTTACACTTGGCCGGCGTCGCTGCTTTCTTGGTGCTGTTACTATTGCCGTTGCTGCCCGGAGGCTTCTTCTGGAAGAACGACCGGATGTCCATCGTCGCTGTTACGAGCGCCGCAAGGTGCGGATCTTCCTAGGTGCTGCTTATGGCTTTCCCGCCAATACAAGCGTCACGGCTACTCTTGTAGAGAGAGATTTGCTGCTCTTTTATAGATCTGGTGTGGTGCACTTGAACTTGATTTTGCCAGCAGCCAATCAGACGCCATGCAGCCACTTCGTTTTGGCCAATCGACATGTGAAATTCTTACATTACCTCGCACTGAGTTCAGTATCATACGTACGCAGTCGCGCCATGGAGCTTTCCCCGAAGGCGCTCAAGTATGCGAGTCTATGTATACTGTGCGTGCAGAACAGCCTTTTGGCTATCCTGATGCGGCTCTCGCGGGTCGGCAACTTCCCGCGCTTCAATCCGGCCACCGCTGTGTTCGTAGGGGAGGCACTCAAGCTGGCCACCTGCTTCGCTGTGCTCTTCCATGTGAGTCTCGCACGTTGCCGCCCTGATAGATTATAGTATCATGTGACTGTGCCTGGCTATTGTAGGAATTCAACTTGCTCAAGGAGCCGCAGCGACGGAAGAGAATGAGTGAGGCCTTCCGCAACATTACCAACATGGGCGAGCTGCTGCGTGTGAGTGTGCCGGCCATGCTGTACGTAATCCAGAACAATCTACAGTACGTGGCTGTGTCCAACCTGGACGCGCCCACTTTCCAGGTCATGTACCAGCTCAAGATCCTCACCACCGCTATCTTCTCGGTCGTGATGCTACGGAAGACTGTGCTGGTCACGCAGTGGGGAGCGATCGTCACACTCATGATGGGCGTTGCACTAGTGCAATTGGATGATGATGCATCCAGTGCTACTGCCAAGGAAGACACCGCACAGAGTACCACCAAGGGACTGCTGGCTGTGGTTGCCGCCTGCGTATGCTCTGGCTTCGCAGGCGTATACTTTGAGAAGATTCTCAAAGGAACCGGATCAACAACCACACTCTGGGAACGCAACGTGCAGATGTGTTTCCTTGGGTTGGCATTATCTGGCGGTGGTTTGGTGTATAATGATTTTGAGTCGATCATGAGTCGCGGCTTTTTCTACGGCTACCGCCCCGTAGTGTGGGCGGCAATCGCCATGAGCGCATTTGGCGGTCTCCTAACAGCAGTCGTCGTTAAATACGCCGACAACATTCTGAAGGCCTTTGCCACATCGATCGCTGTGGTGCTCTCCGTCATCATGTCGGTGTTTGTATTTGGCAAAGTGCCGACCGGCCAGTTCGTGATCGGAGCAATTCTCGTGAATGGCTCGGTTTACGTGTACGGCAAGGCTCCCGAGTGGCGCAAAGACCATCTTGAACCTATTTTACCTGTTACTGGACAAGTGTCGAAGGAGACCAAGCACATCGCTTAGAAAAATGGCTTAGAAAACCGGTAGAACTACTGAATCTTGCATACGTACGAAGTGTATCCAAGAGAGCACTATACATACACCTGCTACCATAAATGTCATACAATACTCATTATTACAATTGTTACCTTCTCCTCGCCTGGAGTCTCGCTAAAGTACCGATTTAGCGCCATGCTTATAGGTTCGGACCGAAACGTAAAGATGAAGCTATTACCTCTGCTGCTGGCTGTTGTGCTCGTGCAACGCTGTGCGAGCCAGAACGCCGTGCGAGAAGTAACTATGGACAATGCAGACGCTCGGGTGATTGGTTTCACGGACCGCACCAATAATGGGCAACGGCCTACTTTGTGGAACAAGGTAACGATTGTACGGGACGATAGATATACCTACGGTGTATTCTCATTCAAATGTGTTTCTTTAGGCTCAATTTGGGCTCGCAGAGCAGCAACCTGCCCTGTCTAGCAAGGACCCTGTCGTAAGTAGAGGCAATACTTCGTAGTAACAAGGTTCAACACGTAGATCCTCATATCTGCAAAACTTGCAGGAAGCAGGCAAGACTGCAAGGAGCTCTGCTGAAACTACAACTACAACGACAGATTTGTGGCCCCGTCGATGGATCAAGTTTCTCGACGGTAGCTGGCTGAATGAGTTCTGGGTGCAATGCGAGCGCGATCCTGTGTTCAGGGCGGGTGCGACACAGAACTTCAGCGCGATGCAAGCAGTGCGTATCAATATCCACCTTCCCCATTGCGTTAAGAAAATAACAGTTATTGCATTTCGCAGTTTGTAGCGTTCGTGTCTATCGGATACGCCGTTGTCGCAATGTGGCTCGGTCCGATAAAGCTCACACATTGGCAGCGACGCAGCGTTCTGGTCACATACACAGCAGCAGGAATCGTCCAAGCGGTTTTTCTTGCACACGCCTCCAGCTTTATGGACATCCACTACGCGTATCCGTCGACATTGCTGCTAGTAATAATCTTCTTCGTAGCGTTTAACCTCATGAATGCGCTGCTAGTGCTGGAGTCCGAGGAGTCGGAACCTGTAGTCGAAGCTCAAGTGCAGCAGATCGTCGAGGTGTCTTCAACGCGCGTAATAACAGCAGAACGCGCCGCCTGCTGCTAAACCTGTACCATATTATCAGGAATGAAGCATCTGCCGCTTCATTCATCGTCCATTGAGAACGAGAGCAGCTTCTTGTTGCTGAGTGTTGGTTGATCTGCACGTTTGCGCTTCTTCTTCTTGCTGCCATTGGACGCTGTGGCTTTGCCTTTGCCCATCTGCACCACCGTTTGTCCACTCTTCTTCTTCTTGTCGTTGTCGTTCTCTTTTCCATCGGCTGCTTCCATTTTCTTCTTTTTCTCCTCTTTTTTCTCTTTCTTCTGCGCCAGATATTCGTCGATCGCCGCCTGCTGCACCTCGTCTAGCCCTTCGTCTTCCTCCTCTCCAGGCTTTGGTAGCGTCGCGAACTTGGCCTGGATGGCCGGCGGTTGGTGATATTTCTGCAGAAATTTAGGGATCACGCGGGTGAACTGCGGTCCTTTGCCTCGAGCCTTCCCCTTGCCGCCGCCGCTGGCATTGTTGAGTCCGCGGAAGCTGCCATCCTCGCGCCAGTCGTCGTCCATGATGGAAAATAGCAATTTCGGGTATGAATTGTAATGTTTGCGCTAATCCAGAGATCTACTGTGATATTTGCTTGTAACCTCACAAATTGGAAGACGCGAACGATGGCAGCTTTGACAGGACTGAGAGGATATCTGTGGGGCCAACGGTGGAACATCCTGCTGACGACACAGTTCATATTTACGTGCGGCATCGTGTACAACCGCTACCAAGAGAATCAAGCTGCGTCGCCGGCTACAAAGCAGCCGCGACCGCTTCGTGAACGTGTGGACAAGCAGCAGAAGTAATCGCAGCCACAATAGACTTTGCTTCTGGGTAAGCAGTTCTTTTTTTCAATTTTGGGGTCAAATAGTGCACCGCGCAACAAACTACATCGACACAGCAACACTACTGGTGCGTGGGTGCAGCAGCGGAGAAACTTCTATGGTGAAAATGTTACGAATTCAGCTTGGCGTTCAACCTATAAAGGATAGTTAATGGCGTTGTGGTTATCTTCATCAACAAGCGGGTATAACGGCCCCGTGATGCCACTGATTGGGGCACTGCAATCCACGGCCGACCATGTTGAACCGCCAGCAACAGCGTTGGCTGGGTCCATCAACTCTACTGAATAGTCTGGCGATGAAGAGATGCTAAAGGAATCAGTTGAGCCATTTGCTATTCTTTCCAAGTCGTGGCAGTATAAGGACCCTCCAGCTAGAATGGGTTGGCGCTGAGTCAGGTCTTCTACCCATGGCCAAAAGTAGGAAATGTCTGTGTCAGACATGTAGATCGTGGTGAGAGTTGACGACAGCCGGGTTACATCGCGAGGAAGCTCACGGATGTCAGTGCCTCCAATACCCAGGTCAGTCAGTCCTTCGATCTCAAAAATCTCAGGCGGCAGTGTGCTAATAGGATTGCCCATCAGGGACACGTAACTTGGCATGAGGCGAAGCAGCGATGCTGGTACATTGCGTAGTTGGCTATGCTCGATGACAACGCACGATCCTGGCAGCCACTTGGTGTCAAGGTCATCAGGCACTTCCTTCAGGTTCGTGACGCACATTTCAATATCGTACAATTGCTGTGGGATATCGTTAGACAAGAACCCTGGCGGTAAAACTCCGTCCGTCGTATTAACACGAACTACCATGAGCGACAGAAGCCCAGGGTGATTTGTGTTTGTAACAGCAACGGAATCTCGCCATTCGACGATGGTTGAGTTATATATTTTGATGCTAAGAAGGCCATGAAACTCATTGAAAATGTCGGGCACTTCGAGTGCGGGACAGTGTCGGATCAGCATCATTACCACAGTGGATCCATCAAATTCGTGCCAATTCAAGTCCACTTCATTCAAATGACCAGATATGCCAAGCCGATAGCAATCCAAACAAAGTAAAAAGCACGACGGTCGTGATACAGCCCACGGTCGAACCTGAAGGATGCATTGTGGTAGCGATGTATGCACAGAAGCTTGAATATGGAAAAAGAGAACCATCAATCCCCACACAAAGAAGAGGAAGTGTACTCCATTGATCGCTCCACGGCACATTAGTTCTCGCACGGATTTGACTGTGACCATACTGTGCGGTAACGAACACTCCACATTTTCTGGTACCCTCTTCTTCGCAGTATCTCCACCGGCGGCTTTCACTTTCACCTTCACCTTTGTAGTAATCGCCACTGTGGCATCAGACACACGGTTTCCCCGTGTTGACCCTCGATAATATAGTAGCTCTTTCAAGTTCGTCGTTGTCATCATCACTCCAAGCGAAAACACTGTTCGGCTGAATAAGTCCGACCAGGACACAACAGCCACCAACTGAAATTCATTCAACGCTCGAGTTGCCCATTCGTCATTGTACCAAGGATTTACACCAAAATCTGTCGTTTGAGGATCGTATTGACTCACATAACTTAGCATCACGATGACTGTCACACCCATACACGAAACCAGATCTAGAACGCAATCACATACAAGGCTGGCAAAGCGTTTGCGAGCTTCATCCTGCCGAAATGGCAGTGCGTGGACGATTGCTGAAGACCAGCAGTTGAGAACGAGCGCAACTACGTAAAACCGGTTCAGCAATATGTTGGGAAGTAGGAAACTCATTCGATACGCTTGAATTGTCTGAAAAGTTGTCTCGATAAGCTCTCGGCAAACAAGGACCGCGTGGAAATATTCCCCGTTGACGCCCAGCAGACCATAGCGGTTAGTGAGTGACGACGTTATCTTTGAAACGCTGTTGAGAGTTATGAAGCTGGGCCGATCGTGATGCTTTTTAGTTGAATCTACGGTCCTCGCGAGAGCTGGATCGGTCCTTGATATACCACAATTTCCCCACGGAGTGAAAGCTAAAGCACCTTGATGTAGTGAACTTCCGACCATCGAAAGTATGCAAATACCATGTATCGAAGCCATCACCGCGTGAACAGCAGTAATGACCCCGTAGTTAGACGACGACATACCCACGTGAAAGGACTCCAGGTTCTGGCTGAGTGAAGTACTGCCCAGTTCCGAGTACAAAAGCGCGTAGGCCGCGTTGTATCCACAGGTGATAAGGTGCACACCAAGAAATAAAACCCACCATACCGCGAATATCCCCTCCGACACGACCACGATTTCATGGTACGTACTTGCAGTGAGTACCATTGTTGTCAAGGTATCACGTTGGTGATCGAGCAGTAGATCCCAACTTAAAGCAAGCTTTCGCTTTTTATAGCAGCGAGCGAATTTTGGTAAGTGGATATTATTTACTACCTGTAAAATTCAGATGTTAACCTAAATAATGCGGCAACCATGGAAAGTCGACGAGGAACACGTGAAGGAGCAGATACTCCAGGAACAGCAGGCATGGTACACCTCCTATAGCCACTCGAACTCCTCCCCACTCTCCTCAGCCCGCTCACCACCTTGATTGTCGTCTTGTAGGGAAGTTGGAGAGCTCGCTGCAGGCCATTCAAAGCCCTATCCACTACAATTCTGGAGTGTCGGGAAGCTGCTGCGAGTACTGCAGGCCTTGCAATCTGCCACAAACACTCTAGAAACTCTAGCTCAATATGGAATTACTCGCCACTCAGTTGGTAGCGTGGACCAGCACCGATCCACGTCTCAACCCACAACAGCGGAGGCGCAGCGCGTCCCCACTACAGACGCTGTGGCGTACTCATCAAGTCGCATCTGGATCACGGGATTCCTACACTTCGGAGAAAGTTTAGATACTTGTGATATTTTGGAATTGTGCGATTCCAATTCTAGCTTACCTAGTTTCCTTCTAGACCCAAGTCCACAACTGGTGGATCAATTGGTGCTGATAAAGCGTTGGGTGCTGGTGGACAAGGCATTCGGAGGCGTGCGAACGACAGGCTCAATGTTTCTCGAAGTGCATGACGAAAAGCCTGTGATATTGTCGCCAGTAAATGATCCGTACGTGAATTGGACACAGAAAGATGTGCTAGAAGTGCTAGAAATTAACTACCAGACGACAGACCCACCGATGTACACCGGCACGGAACGATGGATTACAATTGCAGCGCGCTCACGAGATACTGGAGATAACGATGTAGTGGCGGCTGGACAAAGTGACGAGCGGAGGACAAACAAAAAGCGAAAGCGTTCTCACGTGGTTTTTGGTCGTGTGACGAGTGTGAGTCCTATTTCACGCCAAAAAGACCGTGCAAGTAGCCACTTTTTCGCTGAGATAGAGTGTCACCAACGCTGCACTGAGGCAGCAACGCAGAGTGTAGTTACTGTCATGTTCACTGGAGTCGAGAATGTGCGATGGAATTTGTTTTTCCGCCCTGGAAAAATCGTGTTCCTGACAGATCTGGTGAAGGTTCACTCGCGCGAATGTGAGATATTTCTGCTTCAAGCGACGCACGGACACCAGTCGAGTCACTCTGAAAAGGAAGCACTGGAAACTTTGGTTTTAATCTGGAACGAGCCCTCGCTAAAGAACGCCATTGTGACGATGATCAGTGACTCGCTGAGTGCGTACTCGAAAGAGTTTGTGTCTCGCTGCACAGGGAAGCTGTTGGCTTTCGAAGGTCGAGTGTGTCGACTTCTTTGGGATGAGTGCATTGAGCTATTGGGACCGGAAGGAACTCGTGTTATTGTCTGTCTGTTCCACTTTCCTTATACGCACGAGTTGATCCGTCTTCGCAAGGGCGCTACAATAAGTATAAGTGCTGCCCACGTTCTCCGTTGGCCAACACCTGTAGGTGGAAAATTGGTGATGGGGCTGTGTCCTCGAAGTCATTTCGCAATTACTAGTTACGGTGACCCAAGTGGCCAATGCATTACCATGGGAACACGATCTCGACGAGGCAGAGTACACAAGAAATGGTCAAGTTTGGGTGATTTTCATTGTCAATCTATGGTGTTGTCCATGTGGCTACTGGAGGTTCTGGAGTTGCTGGATTTAAAGTTTTTCTTTGGAGGAGCCAAAGAAATGAACGGTAAAGCAGCTCAGTTATCATTCCCACGCACTCGTCGACGTCAGGCAGTGTCTGTTGTGGCAAAGAAACTTGGGTTTTCGCTGGAAAATGGCCACGACCAGGCTGCCATGACACTCGGCGCTCTTTTTCTGAAGTGTCATTCCTCGAGTGCTGGCAACTGCATGACAGTACAATTACCTCTTCGAGAAAAACTATTGGCATGCAGCCGGATGGTGACAATCCGTGAGCTACAAAAAGTTGGCGAGAGCAAGTTAAAGTGGATGGTTGAATCGAAATCTGAGCATGCCAATGCGGCAGACGGAGTTCTGTCTATTCGAATTCCAGCTGATGAATTTGATTGGTGTTTGCTGCTCGGATGCATCCGCAAGAATGGAGAGCTGGAAGCTTATGACCGTACGGGGTCAATCTCGTTGCGTCTGGGTGGTGGTGAGACTGAGAAGGATCTTACCGGTAGACGTGGCGTGTATTTATTTCGAAATTTTAATATTGTGATTGAGGATTACACTCAAGTCCAAGGATTTCAGCAAGAGGAAAGATTACCACTCGTGTATTGCATGAATTGTTCAGCGGATAATATCGAGTTTGTCAGTATTCGCGACGATGAAACTATCAATTATTCACCGGAGGCAAAAGCTGCAGCTGAATCGCAGACGCCGCAGGATTCGCCGGAGGTATTTCAAGTACGCGATTTACTCCTTCATCCGCGTACGTACCAGTCACAGCAATCTGCTGGTAATGATGAAGAGCAGTCAATTATGAAGACTATAAACCCTGATCTGCACAAACCTCACCTGATATCAGTGATTGGAGTTATCACAAAGAAGAAATACTACTGGAAATCTAACGATCAGCAATCACCTCGGACCGTTGGAGTGAAGCGTGCTCGACAAGGTGATAGCAATACACAATCATTCACCCGGAAGTTAGCATGTATTCTCCACGTTCGCGACCTCCAACATCCGGATACTATTGAGATTCGAGTTGATACGTCGCTCTTCGGTTTGCTGGGTACGCTACAGCTGAACTGTGTCGTGGAGCTTACTCGCCTCCAGGGTTTTATCGCTCGCTCAAACTTCAAGGTTTATGTCAGTTGGATTCAACTTACTGGAGCACGAATTGTTCCGAACTTGACAGTACCACGTGACGCAGAACTCTATGGTTTGATGTCGACAGTGTTCCTGAACGATCTTTATTTTTCTTCAAATATTGACCGAATGTTGCATCGATATGTGGTTGGAGTGGTGCACATTAGTTATGTGGTGCTCAAGCGAAAGTGTGGTTTGTGTCATCAGGCGTTGGAGTTCAATAAGCGTCGAGGTGTTTGGAAGCATTTTGAGCAAACTGAGTCGAAATATTCGCGATACTGTACGTGGAAATGGCATCAGATGACGCCATCTGATTCTGCGTTCAAGACGCGTACGTATATGGGGACAACGGTGCGCTGTGTCATTGACGACGGCTCTGGCCAAGCTGAGCTGTTTCTTGAGAATGACGTTGCATGGGAGTTGCTAACTTGCACTGCTGGTCAACGCCAACGCTTTGAGGACATTCTGAGCAACTATGTCGAGGAACTGAGCTATTTCTCTGGACGCACTGCGAATGGGTCATTTGCGACAAGCAAGGCGGAGCGTGAGCAGGAATATTATCAAAACGAACTGCACGCGTTTGTATTGAACGCCATCCCGTCGCTAAGATCTATTGTGGTGTTTGCACAACGATTCTACAAGGCAAAGGAAAAGGAGGGAATGTCTGTGCTTACGTTTGGCAAAGATATCCACCTCACGACCAAGACCGTGCCGCAGCCGAAGCTGGAGGCCAAGCGCGTGGACCGACTGCATACCCGCAGTGAGCTGCAGCAGCGGCTAGCTCAGCTACGGCAGCGAATCCAAGGCACCGGTGGTGCAACACGTCCTTGTGCAACTGTGGAGCAAACCTGATAATTTTATTTCGCGACGACCGATTAGAGGATGCAAATCGCGGCAAGTTGTGCGCAGTGCAGAAGGGAGACACTTCCGTGGGAATTCAACGATTGCATAGATCAAATGCTCCCTTGTTGCAGCTATCGTTTCCAAGGTTTACCACTTCCGATCTTCCTGTCAGCGTAAGAAAAAAAAGAGAATATTTCGAAGTATTTGGCAAAACATTGTGAAAGTGAACATGGATCCTAGGTCCACCCCCAATTTTCCTGTCTCACAGCAACAGCCTCCGATAAATTATCGAAATATTTTCTTTATGGCGATAATCCGCTTTCTTCTTCGTCATCCACGCGTATCAGTCTCATGGCAAGTTATCACTGACAAGTGGGCAGCGCGACTGATAAATTATCAGATCTTTCTCACATTGCCGCTCTGTGATTGGCTGATTTGCTTACACCGGCAACCTTTTGACTCAAAGGCAACCCGCACCCAACTACCACCAGATCGGAAAGGCCTCCAGTCGACACGGCAATAAGCTATGGCGTCCACGCAGACCACCGACGAGCCTAAGAAGCCCAGCCCCACGCGCGCGAGGAAGACGACGCCGCGCTCACGATCTAAGAAGGAGAAGAAAGCGCCGACTCCGCGACGTCGTGCGAGTCCTCGGAACCGAAAGGCGGCGGATTCTGAGCTGGAGAAGAATCAAAAGGAAAAAGATCAGGAAAAAGCCGCAGTGGAGCCGCCTCCGCCTCCTGTTAAAGCGGAACAAGAGCATCAACAGAAGCAGGAGACGACAGAGGACAATACGGAGGATGAAAAGCAACCACCAAGTGAAACAAAAGACGAGGCGGAGTTGCCGCTCTCTCAAGACACGCCACTCCGACGAAATTACCTACAGAGAATGTGGGGAGATTCCCATTTGGCATTGTCGTGAAGTTGTACGGATATTGACTTCGTTTCTTTCTTTTTTGTTGCAGGTATCGTCAATTGCAGACCACGCATCCGCACCAGGACGATGCAATGATCCGCCACATTGCGACAAACGTGGAGATGGACATGTGTCAGAAGGCAACGACACGGGTACAATTTTTTCCATTGATGATACCTTTTTTTCTTCTTTCTTTTGTGGAATAATTCTCATGAAACGTTTCTCGTTCTTTTTTGTTGCTGACGGACTATAGAGTCAATACGTGGCGACGATGGAGCAAGAGATCCACAAGCTCATGCAGTTCGAAATGGAGCAAGCAAACACGACTGGGTGCTCGGACGACACTCAAGGATTTGGGAATGTGCTAAGCAACACTCAAGCGCAGTCTGGAGAGATGCAAGGCGGCTATTCTCAACATCAGATGTCACAGTCACGGAGTTACGAGTACGCTCAGGCACTTGCAAAGGCGCAGGAGAAGGAACAAGCAAACAATTTCGGCAGATCTCCGTCCTTCTCGACTCCACGTCAGTCAATGAATGGAGGAGATACCTCGTTCCAGTCACTCATGGGAAATCAGACGCCAGGGTATATGACCAGTGGGATGCAACAGCAGCAACAGAGCACACCGAATCGAGCTAAGAGCATGCAGAAGCTGCAACAGATGGGGAACCAGTTTTACTCGACGTCGTCCATGGCGCCTCCAACTACTCAGAGTTTCTCGGTTCCGAGCAATGTAAACGAAACGGCAAGTCAAGCCACACCGCGGAACATGATGGAGACGCACCAACAACGTGGCAACTTCCACGTGCAACAGCACGCGCAGCAGCCTCGGATCCAATCACGAGTAACCAGTTTTTCCGAGTTTTCGGCTCAGATCCAGCACTTGGACAAGTCCGTGCTGATAGAGCTACTGTGGAATCAAAGAGGCGCGTTGGCTCGATGGCAGAATCAGGCAAAGCAGTTGGAGCTTCAGCTTCGGAATGCCTCCAGTAACCTGAGTAGTACGGGATATAACTCTCCGTACAACGCTAGCACGGGGTCATTTGTTAGTCCCAATGCCGCGGCGGAAGCGGAGATGCAGAGGGCTCGAGCTCGCAGCAATTCACGAACGGCGCAGCAGAAGATGCCTACGTATTATTATGGACAACAGCCGAACTTTACAAATGGTGGCTATGCTCAAGCCAATGGTAATATGGAGGAGAATCCACAGCAGTACTGGGAACGGATTCGAGCGTTGAAAGCTGCGTACGAAGACAAATTACTCACAGCTCAGCGAGCACTGGCTCACAATACTGCGCCTCCTAACTCTGTCTACAGTGCCAAGGCCAAGTCAATGATGCAGAATATTGGTTTGGTGTTGACCATCCTGAACGAGCAACCCACCAACGCCCAGCCACGCAAGTTTGAAGTGCTGAATTCGATCGAGCGCTTCATGCAAATGTCTGTGCTTCCGATCGTGCAGAAAGTCTTATCAAGCTCACATTTAGCCACCGGGTCTCGGGCTCCGGTAGCGTCGGGTTCATCTGCTTCGGTGACGACTAGTGTTGCTTCCTATTCACCCGGACAGCCACCCAACTCTGTCAGAATGACAGCAGTTCCTCAGCCCACCTCGATCTTCACTGACGGTCAACAGTTTACAGATGTGGAATCAAAGAACACCGCTGGCCATGTTCACTCCCCAACAATGAATACACCAACGCATATGATGGAAGGATTGGCAGCAGGAAACAGCCCAAACAACGCTGTGTCGAGAGAAGATCACAAAAATTGCCAAAATCGGGTATATGAAGCCCCGACGATAACTCCAAAAGGGTTATCTTCTTCTTCGCTGCCCTCGGTCGAGTCCCGTCCGTCAGCTATCACTGAAACGCGCCTACCCAGTTTAAGTCCCGGTGGCAACACTCGAGATAGTAAAAGTAGCAAAATGATGGAGAGCAACATCGACGATACTCTGAACGAGTTCTCCGAGTTGGCTGGCATGGATTTTGATGACCCGGTAGTGGAAAGCAGCATTCTCGTCAAAGAAAACAACCCGTCCAATGTCATGAGGAAGCGCGGAATCGAAGATGTGTGAGTCCAATCGCGCACCGCGTAGCTCCCTTTCAACGGTATTGCCGAAGAAGAGTTCGTGAGCCAGGAAGTGCGGTACATTTCAGCCAAAACGCAAAGTTAGTGAGTGGTGTGCTGGAAAAGTCTACTAAAACGCCAGCAGTGAGTGTTTCTGAAGTATTTTTTTTTTCATTATTATTTTTTTCGTTTTTTCTTAAATATCCCGCATGCCTTCCTAGATGCTATCCACGAAAGCACCGAAGAATGGATCGATGTTCATATTCATAGCCCTAACGAGCTAAGCCCAGGGCAAGGTTCACATGATGTGCTTGACTCAAAATATACCTCGCACGGTCACCGACTGCAGCCTTGCGTCCACCAGGGAAAATGGCACTTGGCAGGTCGTTCCACGAACGGTAGTTAATCTCAACTTCCATGCCCGGTTTCTTCTCAGCAGCAGTGTCCAGCTCCGTAGCCAGGAAGTACCGTGTTGCTGATGCCACAGAGTTTTTAGCGAGTTCCTCTTGGCTCATTTTGCTGGGAACAGGAGTTCGAGCTGGATGTCTGCGATCACCGCGGCGAGGCTGCGGCATCGGTGCATTGACAGTGTATCCAATAAAGTAATAGCCGACCACTGCGTTGTTCTCGTTTGCTTCTTTGCCTTGAGGACGCACTAGATCGGGTAATGGATGAAGCGATGATACCAAGGGAGTATGCTGCAAAGTCTCCACTAGTTTCCGAGTTCGACTGGCAACAAAGCTGGACCACTCGGCCAAAGCTTCCTCGGTTGGTGCACGCAACTCAATAGCCACGTGGTGGTCGTATCGGACCAGCACTTCGGTAGGTGTGAAGAGTTGGTTCCACGACGACGGGTGACTGAGACTGCGACGACGCAGGTCGTCCATGATGCGTTGACCGCGAGCAAACTCCTCGCGTAGCACACGCAGCGTGGAAATGTTGACATTCACAGCAGTGTTGACAGCAGGGAAGCCCGGAGTGATGATCGGCATGAGGTGTGCTCGATCGTGGATGTTGTGTTGCGGATCCCATTGCACTTCGTTGTCCGCCTTGCCTCCGTTTGAAGGGTGTGCCACTAGAATGGGCGTAGGCCAACGCCAAGACGCCAAGACCGAAAAGAACCGGTGAACAAGTGAAGCCACACTTGCACGTGGGAACATTTGACACACAAAACAGACCAGTAGCGCCCATGAAATGCCACCAAGGTACCCGGCCTTGTTGGAATATAGGCCGCGACATCTCGCCCAGAGGCGAATCACACGCAGACAAGATCGAAACACACTGGCGTTTGGCACAAGCTCGAGAATGAGCGAAGCCACGCGAGCAACAGACAGCGAACGCACCGACGTGGCGTCCATTCCACGCATCACCTGCATGTCGTCTCCAGGCAAGAACGGCAAGTGTTTGGGCACTGCCTGCTTCTGTGCGTACCGAGCGAACAGCAAGTCGATCCGGACCGCGTTCAGCTGGAAGGAAAGCACAGGAACGGCAGCTTTACGTCGAGCGACGAGGTCGGAGACGGATGTTTCCTGCCCGAGGTGTTCGCACAACGAGCTGAAGAAGATTTCGGCAGTCACAGAGTGAGGCATGAACGCCACAACGTCCAGATCCGACTCGGCATTTCCAACCTTGAGGTGCCAACTCCCACCCAGCAACAGAGTCGCAGTCTCGGTTGACTTTGTTTCACTTTGAGTTGCCACTCCCTCCAACTTGTCAAGTGTGCGTCGTAGCCAAATATCCACAGTTCTTTGCAACTCGTTGATTGCCAAGTGTTTGGCGCTCATCTGTTCAGCGGTTGGCATTGGCGAAATGGCATTGACACATTTCATGAGGCCGTTGGTACTGCGCAAATCGTACTCGGTGGGGGGTACGAGCTCCGCGGGGACCACAATAGGCATCACTCGACGCAGTCCGAATGCCGCAGTTCTCAGCGTCTTCAAGTAGCTCTCGTGGTCCTTCATCCTGTGTTTCGTCGGGGATCCGCTCGGTAGCGGTGGCTGCGTCTTGTGCTCGTTCTTCCAGTTGTTTTGGCAGGCCTCCAGGGCGAGTTGCAAAGGTTCTGTCACCGCCGTCTTGGAGACGGGCGAGGGACTACGCGAGAAGCTGCTGGAGACGGAGCCGTCGTCGCTGCAGTCGTCGTCGTCCCAGATGTCGTGGCTGGAGCAGCTCGTGCGGCCTCCAGAGGACGTGTCGCTCTCCTTCTTGTGCTTGTCCAGCAACTCGAGTGCGCTCACTTCGAGCTGTTCCGGTTTGCTCAGCGCCTGCTTGAGCTTTCGTGTGCGCTCGGCGTCTCCCCAGCATAAACAACTCATCTCGACTCGTTGCACTTGTGTCCGTCAGGTCGAATGAGGCCGATCCGATTCCGATGCCCACGCTCGCAATGTAAAAGTGCTCGAGTGGATCGGCAGGGTATTTTTTCGCAACAGTCTGCAGGATGTTGGTCAACAGACAGACACAGGATTAGCGTTCGCAAGCCGACAACCGGCAAAAGCTTCTGGCAAAACAGCCTGCCGCACACAGACTGGAACGGAACCTGCACCCGCGTCAGCAGGTTCAAGAAACCGCCGCCACTCGCTGACAAATTGACCACACAGGTCTGTAGGCGCCAATCGGAGTGCAAACACTTACATTTAGCGAAGCGAAAAGATGGAGAATTGAGCTTCGACGCGGTGGCAAATGTGCGAGTGAGGCCCTCACTCTACAATCACGTTGCAGTGGCAACACATCGGAGACGCGACCCACAGGCGTTGTACGGAGCCCGTTTTTTGTCCAGCAGACTATAGAAGAGTCGATGTGTCTAAAAAGTCTGTCAAAATACACACGAAGTTTACCAGTTTGGCTTGACTCATATTTTACCATCTGCAGGATACATGAGAGAAAACGCCATTGTGGGTGGAAATGTATTGACCTGGTGGCGAGAAGAAGGAAGTTCTCTTCCGCTACGTGTACTACAACTGCACTGTTGTTACTGCACGCACTGACTACTACGAGAGTACGAACATGGCGCCGCTGTGACCCATGCTACAACTCAGGGCGCTTGGTTGCGACGGCACGACCCAGAATCATCCGCTTCTGGGGCAAAATGGGTTGTGGTTTTCTGATGGATTGATGATTTGATTTGACCTCGAGCCTAACCTCTATGCAAAAGTTTTGCAAATTGGCAAGAAAAACACAGCCCGAGTATTTTGCGCCGAGTGCTGGTATTCTCGTTCGAGGAGATCGATTTCATGCACCAGTAGTGCCGTTACAACCGGCTCTGGTATTTGGCGCAACAGCCTGTCCGCCATCGCCTGGCATGATTCCAGTGCGAGGGTCCAAGTGATATTTGTTGTGGGTGCCGACTGCCCCCTCTCAATTTCATTAAAGTGTCGTCAGAAAATACACAATAACTATCCATGTTGCACGGTAGTGATCTCAAAAAATACAAATCGGCTGACTGCTTCAACATGCGGACTAAGCAGAGCCGTGGCGGTAAGTTGTCTGACCGCGCTGCCGTCGGCCCTCGCGCCGTGTTCGCGCGGTGGCGTTTGGTGATGTAACGGGGCACATGGCTTTCGCGATTGCCAGCGGGGCAGGTGCACGGACTGGAGGACTCGGAGCCGCAGCTTGGCAGTGCCTGGGCATTGCACCTGCTGCAGCCGAAGCTTCAGCAACTCGGGCGAAACTGGTGAGAATTCTTTCGCTGCTGGGGTGCGAGTCTCTGCAAGCGCGCGAAGAGCATTGCAAGGGACTTGCTTTTTGCGACAACGCTAGGCCACCTGCTTGGATACAGAGGCTGAGCCCGTAGCACTGCCACGCCGCACGTGCGTCCAAGAGAGATCATACCGGCGCCGTGACTGCTGATGCACGTGGAACTCCCGTCAATCAAGCGTCCAACACGACGGGGTAACTCCATTTCCAATTTGGAAGCTCCCACTTCAGTACTTGTGCTTGACAACGGCGATCAGACTCCGCTTGTAATTGCAACGTCAGCCGGTGTCCATCAACGATGGCATCATGGAGCCTCTGAACTGTCGACGCCGGTTCTCAGCTCGCGTCTGCTCCGCGTTGTCCAACAATCGCCAGGATCGGCTCGTTGTGAGTGTTTCATATCCCGTCGCTTTCGTCGTAATGTTGTTGGTGACGAAGCCAAAACGCGATGTCACCTCGACGCATCGTCTTCATGGACCTCCTCTCCAATGGAGCAATCTGTAAAGGTATCCGATGTGCAAATTGGCATCTCCAAGTGTGCACATGTACTATCGCGGACTCAGTCCAGAGAGCATGAGTCAACTTCAACTCGCTTGTATTTCCTATTTAAACGCTGACTGCCCAGCTCTTCCCTGTTCTCGCCTTGGCTTTCGCCTGTGCTTCCTCCTTCCTCCACTTTTCCTCCTCTAGTCGCTTCAATCGCTCCTGCTCCTGTTTAAACTGCTCCAATTCGGCCGTAGCTTCCGGATGGAAGTGGCAAACGTCCTCAAAGATAAGCCGTCGCAAAGTGTTCTTGTCCAAGTTGCCCTTGTTCTCCCTCTCGAATGAAAAATCAAAGGCGCTATCCGCCAAACGCTCCGAGTCCATCTCAACGCCATCCGCTCGACATGGGGCCAGGAACGGGTGGGCAATGGCTTCGTCCACTGAGATCCGCTTGCGAGGATCGAACTGCAGTAGCTTCGTCATCAGATCCAGAGCCTCAGTCGGAGCATTCGGACACACCGAGTTGAGTGGCTTGGCCTCGTGTTGCTGCTGACGCGCCATCCATCGCTTGGCCTTCATGTTGGTGACAAATCCCATGTCGTCCGGTGGTGGACTGCCCACAAGCTGTAGAATCAAGTGCAACTGGTGCACGTGGTCATGGCCCGGGAAGAGCGCCTTACGAGTAAACATCTCGGCTAAAATACATCCGACAGCCCAGAGATCAATCGCCGTAGAGTACCGACTCGCGAGTAGAAGCTCCGGCGCTCGATACCAACGTGTTACCACATATTCCGTCAGCGCTTCGTCCAGTGCAGGCTCTCCGTCTTGACTACTAGGCGTGGTGTTGCCATCAACACTGCTTGGTGTGACTGGACGGATGTCGATGCCCCGTGCCAGTCCAAAGTCGCAAAGTTTGACTAAGCAATCGCGATTAATAAGCACGTTCGAAGGCTTGACGTCGCGGTGGATAATGTGGGCGGAGTGGACGTAGCGTAGTCCACACAGCAGTTGGTACGTGATAAAGGCGATGTGATCGCTCGAAAGCGGTTCAGGAGAGTTAATAACTCGATGTAAATCCGTCTCCATGAGGTCCGTGACGATGTACGTGTCCTCGAACGTGGCCAACAACGGAGGACGCATTACGTCCAGCACTGATACAACGTGTGGATGACGCAGATGCCTCATCAGTCGAATCTCCCGAACAATTCGCTTGGCATCAACCAGGTCGTCGAAGGTCCGCGGGATGTTTTTGATGGCTACGGAGTTCCCCGTCACTTGGTCGCTGGCTGCAATCACCACTCCGTATGCGCCGTGGCCGATGGCTCGAATAAGCTGGTATCTCCTGTACACACGGAACTTGGTCGACGCCACTGTGAACGTGTACATTTCTTCCTCTTCCGACGCAGATGTCTTGTCCTGTTGATCAACTCCATCAGCTTCCACAAGCTCAAAGCCGCCGGGGACGTCACTGGCTGCAAGCGAATAGCGTTCCGATACTCGACGGTTCTGCCCAGTTTCCTTGTGCAGCTCCTGTAGCCTGTCGAAACTCTTGCGATGTCTCGGTGTTCGTCCTCCCTGGATCGGTGTACTACAGCCAGAACGCTCTCCTTCTTCACTCATATTTACATCGTCGTCTTCCCCCATTGAATCATCCTCCTCTGTGTACGGAGCGAAGCTGATGCTCAGCTCTAGACGTCCGCAGCTTTGAGTGTCTCCACCTCGCGCACCCTTTTCGAACGTCTCCGCTCGATAGATGTCGAACCACTTGGGCACAGCCACAGACGCGATCTGCTCTTCTGTGCCCTCGGACGAACCCAAATAGTCTGCCAAGTTCACCTTCGCACAGCCAACCAGTTCGTCGCCAATGACACCAAAACTCCACACATCGATGCACAAACTGGCTGTCGAGCCAGGAACAGCTCCAGAGAACTCCAAGTGCAGCGTCTCGGCCCAAAATGGTCCTTTACCGCCGCTGCTCTTGACGACTCGTGTCGAGTACGCCTTCCACGATCCAACACGATTCAATCCGTCCGTGCTCGTAGTCGTTACGTCTCTGCTGCTAGTGCTGCTGGTATTTTTCGTGCCAGGGACTTTCGTTGTCAGGTGCGGGAACTCGTTTAACCCGATTATTATCTTGTATCCGCTGCCTCCACTTGTTGTGGGTTTTCGTCGTCTGAAACTCTCTCCAGAGATACAAACCACACGAATCTCCCCAGGTGGACACGTGCTGGTCTGGCGTTCACGTTCACGCGGTAATGCAGCCAGAGTCGGTCCCGTAGCCTCCCCAATCACTGGACCTGCTCCACTGCCTCCCCCATTGGCAAAGGCTACAGCAGCTGCCGTCTTGTCCGCTAGAATATTAATGTGGCTAATACGCCCGTCAGCTTCAAACCGCAGCTCGTGCTTCCACAAGTGTCGAAATCGTCGTCCACTCTCGGCACTTCGTACCGTTTCTCGACCGGACACCACAGCCAGGTCTCCTCGACGTGCTACGTGCTCAACGCCATAGTGTGAGACGTCCATAGAGCCATGTAAATTGGAAAAGAAAGCTAACACTCCAGACAGGCCATGATATTCTCCTGCAATAGGGACACTTGGAGGATAATTCGACGTCAGCGTGATGTTCGGGTGGAAACTCGGCATCAGCAGCGCGAAATTGCCTTTCCGTGCTTGAATACAGCCCCAAGCATCGTAAAACATGTTTAGTTCCACATTCACGGGAGTTCCTAGTAGCGTCAGAGTCTGTATCCTCGGTCGTCGTGGGGTAGACAACGGTGCCAACGCCAGAGTCTTCCTTGGTGATGCTTCAATTTTTGAACCCACTGTCTTTAGTCTCCACTGCGCCTTTGGCAGCACACTTTGTACCTGCTCGACCACTGCACCCAGGAGATGAATCCACAACACTCTCTCCAGTTCACTGTCCACTGTGAGATGCAGCGACTTGCTCTTCTCCTTGGTCTTAACGTAGAAGCCATGAGGACGCCCCACGTTCTCCTTGTCCACAGCTGTGACCGTGTAGCAATGTTTCTTGTCAATTATTACCGTAGAATTGCCATCCTGCTGCATCTGCTGCTGCTCCAGCTCCTGTACCTCCAGAAAACGACCTCGAGACTCGAATACACGCAGCGTTACGCCGTCCAAACTCAGGTACACGTCGTCCCAGCGCGGTAGCCAGTCGCCTTTCCTGTGTGCAGGGCCGTCCCAGTGGATTGGGATCAGTTGCATCAGCAGGTTGGCGCCCACAGCGTCTGAGAGTGACGATGACGTGCCCAGAGCACGCTTTTGTCGTCGTTCATGAGGCTGTTGCGGGTCCAAATGCGGCGCTATCGAAGCAGAAAGTGGATTAGGAGATACATCGGCATCTGGGGAAGAGAAGGAGCCGCTTCGTTCAGGCGGAGACGCAGCAGGAGGCTCCATAACGCGCGCCAAAGTGTGCCACCAACACACTCGTGAATCAGTTTCGTGATGATGTTTTATTCCTGAGGTCACTACAACTCCCTCGTTAGACTGACGCTTTCGTCACTTCAAAAGTGTAGGTTTTGCAGAATGTAGCCATCTTACAACATGCACTAAACGTTACAGGCTGCTGTAAACGACGCCGACGAGCAACATGGCCGAGATGGTGGCAGTGCCCGCGATGACCTTGTCCGGGTAACGCATGCAGTACAATACGATGTCACCGAGTAGCTTCGAGTCGAAATGCTGCGAGTCTGGACGCATTGGGAGCGGAGAGCCGGCAGTCGTGAAGAGGTTCACCACGGCACGCAGAGTCAATCCCCACAACACGAAGTCGTGCACTTCACGACGGGGTAGACGCTCATCATCGGGCGGCGGATGATCTGGTCTCGGCAGGTAGATGCAGTCGAACTGCATGTTGCCAAGTAGCTTCTTCGCCAGTGCCAGCACACGTGGACGCATACGCAGACTCATGAGACTGTCTTCCAGCGGATACGAGAGTACCTGATACCGTCGCGTGTTGAATAACTCCTGTACGTCCACCCAGAAGACGTCTGCGATCTCTGATTCCTGTATCTTGGGCTTGTAATCGTGCTCGTCCGCCGCAGCATCAATGAAGAAAACTTGGCAAGAAAAAAATGTAGCGACACAATTATCAGCAACAAAACACAAGACCTTGGACAACTGAGAAGAAATGGCTACCTTGCGTGCTGACACTCAGCGAGCGGAGATGCGTTTGAATCGGCGGCAAGTTGCCGATCCAGTGCACATGTCTAGTAAAACAACATAAGTTAGTTGCAACATCTTCTGCCCTGTCCGTAGCATCCACGTACTCGTTCGTGAGGTCCAATCCGACCTCTTCCATGGTCTCGCGCTGAGCCGTTTCACGAAGCGACTCCCAGTCCGTCCATTCGCCCGAGACATCGTCCAATGCCTTGAGGTCCATCTTGGTCTTCTTCTGCCTGCGACCACCGGGGAAGGCGATCTGGCCGCTCCACGTATCCTTTTCATTCACACTACGCCGCACAAACAGGAGTTCGAGCGAGCGCTGCTCCTTCTCCTTCCACCGGAACACAGCAGCCACGCTTGCACGCTGCAGCAGCAATAATCGCAACGACAAAAATCAAACGTTGTGGACGGTCTCAGCTCTCAGCCTTGGAGAGTGTTGCACGTACCACAAAAGGCGCGTCATGGCGTGGAGGAGGCTGCTTAGCCAGGTTGCGCTTGAGCAACGGCACGAGCGATGTTATCACGCTCTGCTCCACGAACCTCCGCGTACCGTTAGCGCTCATTTTGGTGCGGTTGGTCAGTTGAAGGGGGAAGTGTTGACGTGAGTAAAGCTATCGCGGGTAGGTTTGAAAACACACAAAAAACAAGCATTTCGAGCTTCAATAGAAGCTTCCTTTTCAAATTGCTTGTTGCCTTTTGTTGCTTTGATGTCGAGTTGGCATAGCCAACGTATTGTCAGTAGAAACTACAGGCACACTGCTGATGCTTGTGTAGTTTCCTGACAGTAGTCGAGCTCGCTAATAGTTTTAGTGAACTGCAACTTTGATGACTGGATTAGAAGATCGCTTGGGCCCTGCTGTAGCAGTCTGCCACTGGCAGATGGCGGGTGCAGGTCAACTTAGCGGGCCGTGGACGCCCAGCCACCCAAGGCACTGAACGATCCAGAGGCAACCACTGCGTAGCACTGTCTTATCGGCGATATGTTATCGTGGCGGCAGTGCAAGGCAAGTTCAGCGCGGAAAGCCCCGGATTTTTGGGTTCTTGTAGAAATCAGAAAAGCTCTGCCGCTGTGGGTCCATGGAGATAGCATGATAAATAAGCATGCTCTGAGAGCTGCTCTCATAGTGAACATGCTGCTTCGAACAGCTCTACAAGTACATTCTCGGGCGCCGCCGATCGCGATGCCACACTCGACGTCTCGACGGCAATCATCACTCACTAAGTTTACCATTGTGAAATGTAGTATTCTTGCCCAATTCATCTCACAAGTGTTTCTCTTATGCATCATTAAACCTCTTACAATCAATAAACTGGTAAAAATAAATCTAGTAACCTTTTTGCTTGTACCCAATATTGCTGTCAGGCCTCTACTGTACCAAATCGAAATGACTTGCTCTCACTATGCCCACCCGGTACCGAGTGTTTTTGACAACGGCAGAGCTGCGCATCTGAACCATAATCGAACTCGCACACGTCAGTCCACATCTCCTTGATCGGTCTTATCTTCCTCTGTTTATGATGGACCTGAACAACCTCAAGATCATGGCTAACCGCGCTGGTAACACGCTCTACTTTGCTGGTGCGGCTGCTGCTGAGATGGGCAAGGAGAAGGGCACGCAGGCGCTGGCCGCTGCGTCGGAGGCAGCCGCCGTCGGCCGCGACAAGATGAAGAGCTCTACGACGTACCAGAGCGCCACGGTGGCCGCGACGGTGGGTCGCGAGAAGGTTAAGACGTCGCAGGCCTTCCAGGCGGCCTCATCGGCTGCTGTTGTCGGCAAGGAGAAGGCCACAACGGCTGCATCCACCGCCGCGACGGTCGCATCTGCCGGGCGCCTCAAGGCCGTGAGCGCTTTGGTGCTGGCCAAGAACCGCATTACTGGGCTTAAGACTGGCAACTCGCCCAGTTCGCCAACACCTGGTAATCTGCCGTCGGCTGAGAAGGAGTTTTACAAGTACGAGATGTCCGAAGAGGAAAAGAAGAAGAAACGCGCACAGGCTCGCCGTCGCGCCGAGAAGAACAAGCACCCTGGATCGAGCTCCAGCTCAAGCTCAAGCTCGAGTTCTCGACGAGAAGGCAGTTCCAGATCCGCAACCAGTTCAAGCTCGAGCTCCAAATCCGCAACCAGTTCAAGCTCGAGCTCCAGATCCGCTGGATCGAGCAACAAGTCCAGCAGTAGCAGCTCCAGTAGCAGGAGCAACCACCGATCGGCCGGCAACAGCCGACGACCAGGCAGTAGCAGACGCAACAAAGGCGAGCACCAATTGTAGAAGACTGCTAGAAAGGTACAACATGTTCTTTGTGGTGTAACTAGCGTGTACTTTGATCGTAATCCGTTGTCTGTACGTGAGTCTGGACAGTTCGACTAAAGCGGCTCACAAAGCTACGCATGCACAGCCTGCCTCAGATCTCGTAGAGGCCACGCACGAACCGCACGTAGTCGAGCTCATCTTCGTTTCGTGCGGTTCTCTCAGCGAGCAAAACTTCCACTACGAACTCTCCCCACGGTTTTGCAGGTCGGTCGTACGGGTTGAGACTACGGAAGAGGTGTGGAGTGTTCGTCTTGGCACGGCTATTAGAGTCCCTACGACCGCTTACAACCTGTTGGTGAACGCGTTGGTGCTTGCGAGTTGGTCGTCGCGTTGGCGTATCACCGTTTTGGCTTCCAAATGTCGGCTGTGCTTGGTCTGTAGTGTCTTCGCGGGGAGAAGCGCGTTGCTGTACTGGTTCATCTTGGTCCAATGATGGCTGCTGGGAAGTTAAATCGCCCTCGTAAGGAGATGCTCGGCTGGAAAATGAAGGGTCATCGCGAGCAGAGTTTCGCCTTTGATTCACAGCAGGAGGAGCTTGTTGATTCGTATCGTCTTGAAGAAGTGAAGGTTGGTCTTGGTCCGCGAAGTCCTGACTTGGCGCTTTTGGTTGTTCGTTATTAGCCGCGTGTACAGGCAACAATTCTCCTTGACTCGTGACCTCCTGAGTGGCCGGCGCACTTCCCTCCGACACTCGTTGAGAACTTTCATCCGCCCACAATAAGTCTTCATCTTCTGACGTTGGATCATGGTACGAGCTGTCTCCATCCGAGTCTAGAGTCCTCTTACGACTTTTTCCCCTTATCGGACGAGCACTCGCAGAACTCACAGACCTCGTAGCTCTCGTTCTGGGGTTTCGTAGACGCGCAAGTGGCTCATCGTCGCTATCCACATAACTCTCAGAAGATTGACTTCTTGTCATCCGACGTGTCCGATTTCTAGGCTCCGAGGCTGAAACTTTGCGTGTCCTCCTCGCTGTCCTCGTCGTCCTGGGAGTTATCTTACCCTTCATCCTAGTCGGATCGATGTGCAACAAGATCTCTTCGGGTACGAATTTTCCTGCGCGGTAGGCAAAATCCTCGAATGTGCGGTCATCATAAGCGTACTTGCTATCCTTGGTCTTCATGGTATCCACGAAAGCTGCGAGTAGCGCCGACCAGCGCACCGTTGGGCTCTTGCCGTCTACGACGTCCCGCATCTGAGAGCCAAGCACGTGCATCTCGGTCAGCGACCATTGTGCATACCCATCGGAGCTGTGCGTCGAGTCGCTGAGCTTCATACTGACTGCGCCTGTGCGTAGCGCTTGCAGCATAGCGACACTCGCCTCTAGTGAGTTGCACACCCACCCGCGCTCTTCGCAGATGGCCGCGTGCACTGCGTACGTCTCGTCGTGCCAGCTCCAAGCGAAATCATCGCGGTATCCCACCCAGCCCTCGTCCACCTCCAACAGCAGCCGCGCACCCTCCGCCGTCCACTGCTCATTATGGAACGTGATGGCCGCCTCGGTCACACCCGCCATCTTCGTCCAGAGATGAAAACAAAAATGTGCCATACAAGTAAAACAGTATAAACAAGAATGGAAGTTGTCACTGCAAAATAAAAGATCAGTCTAGAATTGGCCTCACACTAACGCGTCTACGTTGGCTTATGTCCATTGCTTGAAACCCGCGGTTAACCTGGTATGTCTACGCATTTCGATTCACTTAGCTCTGTTTTGCGTCTTTACTAGGAGTTGGCTCGACCTGGAGATTCTTGCGTTTGTAGAACAAAATGTACGCTGCGTTGGACTTGACCTGACCGGGCATTGCTGGTGCCACTAGACTGTCGTCAAACGAGTACCAGCCCGGATACATCTCGCCTTCGTCCTTCCAGCTCTTGGCAAAAGCCGTGTAGTGACCGAAGCCCATACTGCCGTAGTGGTTGCTCACAGCGAACAGGTCATAGCTTAGATGGTCCTTGTCGTCGCTCTTCTCAAGACAATACGGCGACATGTCAAGGTCTTCGAGTGGGAAATCCACATACACGTCCAACTTGTCACGCAGAATTTCATTGCGATACTCGAACCGCTTGAGAGAAAGCACTAGCACATCTGGTAGCCGCCACATCTCCATGGTTTTACGCGCTTGTCGGTGCTCTTTACACTTGCTGCAGTACCACAAGTTCGCCTGGTCCAGAGTCTCCGGCTTGACAAAGTTCCGAAAACAGTCGTCCAAAGAAATGCCCTCGTGGGAGCGAGATCCACTCGACTTGGCGCGCATACTCTCGTGATTAACAATCCGCTCAACGTCAGGCCGGGGAGAAGCTGACGACGACAGCATCGATGAAGACCAGGCGACCGAAACGAACACTAACTCGTCCGGCGATTCCTCATTGTGAAGTGTAGCAAAGTCCAGAAACTTCGAGTCGGCAGCTGGAGGAACAGGCTCGTTACGCAACAAGACGCCGTCGCGGTCTGTTAGATACACACATTGAGATAGCATGTTGACCGGGATCTTGGCACTCGACGACTGCGAGACGTGAGTGCTGAGCAACTCGCTCCATTTTTCCAACATCTCGGCACAAGTAGTCGACGCAGTGTACGTGAAGAGCAACGGATCACCTGTCAAAATGGATCCTACTCGGTGATATAAGAATCCGTACTGCACAGAATCTTCAGTTGGAATGTCGTTCACCTCGTACATGAGAATGCGATCATCTTCTCGAAGTCGGTTCAATCGCTCAGTATCTCCAATAATGCGGTAGGTCATGGACTGGTAGATATCAGCCGCCAGCAGGGAGCTAGGACTGACACCACACAGTTTGCTCAGTGCCCGCTTCAGTAGAAGAACGCTTCCCTTCTTGGGTACTTCGACAAGATACCGCGTCATGGATTTTCCTGGCTCACTCGGGACGAAGATGACCTCAATCTGGCGGTTCAGCTGCTGGGGTAACTCTAGCTGGATGCAGTTGAACGGATCGAAAGTAATCGAGACCTTGTTGCAAATTGGGCAGACAACCGTGGACTTGAATTGACCCTGGACATGATCCACAAAGATACTGTCGTTGCGAAGCAGATGACGTTGCCACGCTTCCTTTGCCACCGCAGCATCGTCTTGAGAGCCGTCAGACTCCTTCACCTCAGTATAAGGTTTGTGTTTGACGCGATTCAGATCTTCATGCAAGCCATCGATGATGTATGCAAGCAACTCTTGCGCGTCATGCTGCTGGAAACCAGAAAACTGTGGTGCAAAGCGACTGATAGCTCGCTTCAAGTTGGCAGGCGATGTGCTGGGTACTGTACCGAACCACAGTTCCTTCAGTAACGCATCGTACTCCTCAGCTAGGTTGCCACCTGTTCCTAACGGGTTGTCGCGGTTCAAGTCCTTCTTGTACTGGTTGCTCAAGAAATAGCGCGTCAACAACTCTACGTGACTCAAGCACTGCAGCGCCGAGTTCATAAAGCACGTGTTTCCCAAGTTGCGAAGACCCATTTTACCTCGACGTTCTGCCTGCAAGCCCTGCAAAATGTCATCCTCTTTCTCCTCAGCTGTAAGCGTCGAGCGACACACACCCTTGTGGTATTTCCAGTGCGACATCTGACAGTTTGCGCCGCAGTACCAGATCAATTGGCAGTTTCCACATCGCTTCAGCGAGCCCGTCGTTTTCCTGCAGGCTCCACAGATCTTTGGGATCGAGCTGGACACGGCAACCGGTTTACGCTGCACAGCCAGCTTGGCTCCATCTCCAGAGTCCTCCTTGTTACCATTGACTTCGCTTTTCTTCTGCATCGAACTGTCTTTCGTGCCATTCGTCGTAACTTCAGGCTCTTCGTCTTGCGGTTGCTCCTGCAATACATATTTTCAATCAATTTCATCATCTTTCACACATAGCGATGCCAAAGTCAACCTACCGGATAGACCTGCACGCGGTTAAACGCGTTGCCGAGCTCCGGGTCTCCGACCTGTACGACAAACCGTGCAATGGTAGGTCCTCCACCGTACCAAATGAGTAGTGCATCCCAGACTTCTTGAGGGATAAGCACATAGTGATAGTTCTCCTTCAGTTGTGGCCGTAGAGGGCCGCCCATGAGCTCGTCCAGAGGCGTGTCTGACCCAACGTGGAGAAGCGGAAGATTGTTGATGCGACTGGGTGCCGGGTTGCCTGTCCCAGTCGCGGGTGTTTCCTGTTTATCGTCATAGCCCACGAACTCGCACCAGCGCTCCCACCACTTGGCCGAGAGCACGAAGCGCTTGTCCCCCACCTGCAGTCCTTGCTGATCTGCCTGTGTCATGAGGCGCTTGACGATCGCTCGCTGCTTGTTACGGTCCATGCGCTTGACCGTGCCGTTCGTTAACGGTCTCCCGGTTTTCCCCGAGCCATTGATGCTGAGGCTCTGGCTGGATGAGGGCGCTACGACTTCCTCCGGGGCTGGGGTGGGGGTCCCGTTCTGCTTGGGCGCGTGGCGCTTATGACTTTTCTTTGACTGCTTCTTCTTGCCCTGGAGGAGATGTAAAGGACGGTGAAATGAAGAAGGAGAGTTTAGACGACAAGCAGATCGTGTATGGGATGGAGAGCGATGGCTGGAGACCCACGAACCTTGCCCATGCTGACCCCAAACGGTGGTGCTCACTCTGATCTTTTCGGTTACTGTGTCAGTGTTAAAAAGTGCGGCTTGAAATATCAGTTATAAGCCAACTAGAAACACCTCAAAAGAGTGACATGTGGTTTGTCTTTGAACCAGACGCCACAGTCAGGAGTGTAGGCCATCATGGAGCCATCGGCTCCGCATCCTGCGCCGCGCGTGGAGGAGCTGATCCTCTCCGGCGCGGACGTGAACGTGCTGAACCACACGACGCTGTCGCTGTGGCATTTCCGACAGCTGGCGCTGGAGCTGCTGCCGTCCGCCGCGTCGGCTGAGCCCGAAGAAGATCATGGCGTCAAAACGCCTGAGATACATTCCAGCCGCGGTATCGAGCTGGGCGAAGGCATGAGCGTGGCTGCCGTGCTGTACGAGCAGTCGATGGAAGTCTTGAAGCTTGAGAAGAGCAGTGTAGGAGATGCCGAGCCGGCAGGAGACAATAATAACCGGACAGAGAGACCCGTACTACAGCTGCAAGGCGTGACGACACACATTAAGGGACAAATGACACCGGGCACCCGCGTCGGCGCCGTGTTCCAGCGCTACCGCTGCGTGCTGTGTCTGGACGCGTCGCCCTCCATCCTATCTATTGATCCGTCATCAGGACGGCTCTTCTTGGACTTGTTATACGAGAGTGTGGAGCTCTTTATCTGGAGCATGCTGAGACCCATGGAAGTGGGAGGTGTAGCTTTCACCCCTGAGATCCATGTGTCCGTGCTGGTACAGGGGGCTCTAGTGGAGTCCATTTGTGTATTGATGCAGGGATATATAGTCACGCCGTCAAACGCGGCGGGATTCTTACAGCTGATTAAGGAACGATTCCAGCTCATTGAGAACGACTGGGCATCTCAAGCACAGGAACGCGGACAGTATGGGTATCTGGGAAATGCCACACCGGCCTCGCTGGACTGGATCTTGCAGAACGCGGTGTTTGCACTCAACTCGTTGCCCACAGATTGCACGCCGATGATGGTGCTAGTCACCGATGGCGTCGTGGATGTACGGGACGCCTATTCGTATGATAATTTGCTGATGCAGCTTGTGCGGCATGATATTCAATGTCACTTTTTACGGATTGGTGGTGGAGGAGATGACGAACTGAATGCGACGTTTGGTTTTGTACCAGACACTCATTTGATACGCTTCGTGGCGGAATACACAGGTGGAACTGTATTTGACTACACCGCAATTCACGAAGCATGCTACGGTACGACGAGCACTTGCAGCAATGTTGTGAAGAAGATGACAGGTTTACAGGATGCGTGCTTTTTACGCAAGTCGAGTGTGCATGCGAACTCGGCGCCCGTGGTGAAGCTTAATGAGATGGATAGCACCTCTTTTGATGGAAGAACTCTGCTACCTCTTCGACCGTATCGGATGTGGCGTGAAAAGGTTCATGAATACCGTATTTTTGCTGACGTGAACCGTATCGTGGAGGCCCGGCTGCGTGAAGGGTTCTCGATCAATAAGATCTATGTCAAGACTTATCAGCAGCCTCTTCAGATAGATGGAACTGGCGTGGAATCTCCTCGTAATGGTGAAGTTCCCAATGCTTCGAATGGCTCCAACGATGTCACCAAGATTCTGATTGTGTTCTTACTCCAATGGAAGCAAAATGTTTGGCTTGAATACGTGGTATCGACGACCACGGACAACTCGGCGTCTTTGGCAGCATCGGCTACTACGTCTCACACAGGCCGCCGAGGTAGTGGTCAGGGTATGAAGGGACCTGGTTCATCATCTTCGGTAAGAAAATCTTCTGCTATCTTTTCCAAGGGCCAGAGAACTGCGTGGAGTGAGTGGTACGTCAAGATGAATATCCTGGCTTACGCGGACTTCCTTCGTGCGTTCGAAGATACGATGCAGCGCTCATCAGCAAATGGAGATCGAGGCGGTGCAGCTCGTAGTCCACAGGGTGATATTTCCTTGGCATCACCAGTTTTTGTTCATGACTTTATTCGAAACGTTCAAGACGTCGACCGTGTGTTGCTGCATTTAATGACGGCAACAGCTAGCATCAACGAGACCAGTGACTCAGTTGCCAACCAATTCTCATTCGGGACAAGTGCAAATTCCGCGTCTGCGTCCGTGACTCCGAAGATCACAAGCTCCCATCCAGTGTTTAACATTATTGGCGAACTCTCTACTGTGCTGTGGCATCGCTGGTTCTTCGTGGAACGCTTTGAGATTCTTTGCATCGTTAAGAGCGATGTATGCACAGATCTGTTTTATCGAAATGAAATGCACGGTGTAGTGGAGCGTGGCAATGCAGGCTCGCATTTGCGCAGCTCGGGGAATGTACCACAAGGAATGATCCACAGCCATGGTGCAAATGTCTATGGAACGAGCAGTGGGAACATTTCAATTGGAGTTGATAGTCTCGCCGAGCCGCTGATCGCAATTCTTGTCAAGTGGTCTTCCCAGAAGCTGTCCCAGGATTTGTTCTTGAAGTTTCTTCGTCCGTCTGCAGACAAGAGCCACGCGCCACCAAGGGCCAAGGCGTCTCCATCTTCTGCTACGGCTACGGGGGGGATTGCTCAACGTCGTCGGCAACGCAGTCTTAACAGTAACGGCGGAGAAGATCCTACCCATACTGAAGAGAGCATGAACTCACAAGAAAGCAAAGGCGCTCTTTGCTTTGTCCGGCTCGAGTTTAAGAACAAAACGCTGTGCGCTGTCCATGTGGCATTTTTCGCGACTAGAGCATCAACCCGCCGCCAAGTGCTGAATGATTTAAAGAGCACGATTTTTGCGGGTATCAACGAGGTCGCAGTGACGCCTTCTCCAGCCAAATTGCTCTCGTCATCGTTGACTGAGACTCCTGTCATTCTCTGTCATCGTATGCTGAGTCGCCTGCTTGTCACGCATGATACGCTCCTACTCCACGGACTCGACCAGGAACCCGGACCCTTTGATTATTACGTAGCTTCGCCGACACTGGAGGCTGAAAAGAATGCAGGAGCTATTCCTCCGTCAACTACATGCTGTGGAGGTAGTGAGTTGCAGTTGCATCGCGTTTTCGGTGCATATGTTTGGCATTCGAGTTGGAAATGGGAAGTGGCAGATTTACAGGCACTGTTGGACGTGATGCGTCGTCTTCACGATGCCCGCATCAGCTGTGGATTTTGGGTCTTGGACTGGAAGATGGGCGAAGGAGATGATGGACAGAGTGCACATGTTGAGAGCGTGATTTTTGGTCGAGAAATCTTGATGGAAGATGAAAATGGACATACCAAGACGGCGCTTGTGCAATATGCGCTTCGTCGTGTCTCGGATACTTGTTTGATGACCTCTTTCTGGATGGAACCCCAGCATGGCACTGTGAAGACACGGTTATCCGATGAAGCTGACCATAACGATAGGTTTCACTGGAGTTTGAAGCAGGCAATTGGACACAGCACGCCGTTTGAGAACTATGAAACTCGTGGAGCGCGTCGAAACAGCACCCCACGAGCTAGAGGCCGGGTTTCTGTATCTTCAACGAGTTCATTGGAAGACGAACAGAAGTCTATGGAGCAGGAGGACGTGAGTATCGATTGGAGTGGAGATTCGATGTATCTGGGCGAGAGTGAGCTGTTGCACCTCATCCGTGGCTACCTTTTCAAGAGTGATCGTCACTTCCTCTCTTGTCTGTACACGTTTGATTGCATCATTAATTTGCGCGAGAACATCGAGCTGCTGAATCAGTTGAGCAAGGATGTTGATGGTGTTGTGGGCTCCAACTGGATCATGGATCGGCAAATGGCAGCAGAAAATGGTATGATCCTTCCTCCGTTCAGCACAGCCAGACTTTTGGCTACTTCAAAACGATCAACAGAACATTTCCTAATGTATCTGCAGAATGGAAAGAGTTCTTCGAGCGGAGAGAGAGAATCAAGGGTAACTGGGATTCCGCCTTCAATCTCTACTGCGAACGAGAATTTGTATTCCATGCTCGAACTTACGCTAAGGGGCCTGAGTGATTGCGAGGTGTCGTGGACAGACTACAATGGAGACGTTGTGGCGGACTCGCGTATGCCTCCCAGCAGCGTGATTGAAGACGATCAATTCTTCAGGGAAGGAATGGACGGCCAATTGCCACTGTGGTTAAAGCACCACTTGTCCTTGACTTTCAAAGACCGTGTGCCACACCACGCTCTAAGCAAAGGCAAGTGCTTTGCTAAGCTTGTCAGCGATGATTGCGTCGTGTTGGCTTTCTTTCCTTCGTTGGATACTTTGCAGGTTAAGACGAAGATTTCGGACAAGGTATCTGTCGACGACCCGCTGTTTGATGACAGATTCCCAAAGGCTCCTGGCAAGGATGGAGATCACAAGACTCCTGCGCAACCGTTTTCAGTCCGTGCAGCGGAAGAGGATGGAACGAAGTCGCGAGCCGTGCGAATGTCAGTATCTGCGGACGACATTGTCTTGTACCAAGAGCGGCGACGCAGCTTCCGCGAAGGATACAAGTCTTGGCGAATGGGGCATTATCAGGGATCTCGTGACGAAAAGCAGAGTTACGGCCGAGACTTCCAGAAACTTCGCCTTCCCTCGACACCAGAAGATCACGAGTTTTGTGAAGACATCAGTCGTCGTGCGCCATTTGGTTGTGATTTCCACCTGCTGATTGAAAGTACTGGCGGAGTTTTAGGGTCAGGCTTCTTTCAAGTTGCCTTTTACGAGTGTTCGCTCTCCAGGTTGTCCACGGATTTACACGATAGAAGTGATCAGACGCTCGATCGTGTGGATCTACCTCACACTATCCTGAAGCAATTATTCTTTTCAAAACGACGTGACAAGCCGAAAGAGGATCGTCCTGCTATACCACTTGACCGGAGTGGACTTTGGAAGAAGTCTCCGGCACGATCACTATCGGAGTCCAGTGGGAATTCCCACCACCGATTAAGCTCTGACAGTATTCTTGCATCTCGCCGATTCCGCAAAAAGGTTAAGCGAGCTCACGAGCATAATTTTTCTCGTGGTGTTTACATGGCTCTACGTGAAGGAGGGGCAGTTCAGCATAGCGATTTGCTCCAGGCGCTGTCAAGTTGCATTGAAGTTCCTGTGGATGTTGATATTACGCTCTTGTATCGGATGATGGAGACAGCCGCGTCGCACAGAATACCTCCTCTGAGTCCAGCAGCCGCAGCGGTGGTCTCTGCTGGCATTGGGGCGGATATTCTGAAGGATAAGTTGACTAAGTCTTTCGAGACAATCTTGTCAAGTGTGTTCGTCCCGATTGCTGGCACCAAGTATTACTACTTTACGGGCAGTGAAAATGCTATCTATGAGGACCTGTCTGCGAGTGAGTATGACTTACACATTCTCATGGAAGACTCGGAGGATGGTGATGGAGATGGAGTCGCTGAACGCCAGAGAAAGGAGGAAAATGATGGCGCCATCGCTACTGGGGAAGAACAGCTAAGTCAAAGCGTTGATTCCCAAGACAACTCCACGACTGCAAACGCGGAAGCAGGAGAAGGTGCTGGCGAAAAGCGTCCGATTCGGAACAGACGGGGTAGTTTGGGGCGTGAGTTACCGCCTTCCGTGGATACCTCGACTGAAAGCAGTACAGGGAGTGAGCAGCACCATGCACACGTTGAGGAGGACGCTGAGTTCAACAAAGAAGTCGCTGTGGCTACGTCTAGCTTTTCAGTGCCTTTCTTCTTTAGGTTTGAATGCCGCGTGCTCAACGGCTCTCGGGAGACTCGATCGAATTCTGCAGACACTCATGTTCCTAGAGTTACGCCTGACTCGGAAATGCTCCGTCGATCTTCCAGTACTGCTGCGTACGATGATATGCGAAAGGATATGGTTGCTGAAGAACAACTTGTATCGCCTAGCAGTCGTCGGGAGGAGTTTAACGCGTTCTTGGAATCTTTGAAAACAAGTCACAAGTACTCTAACTCGGCCGATGTGACGCAGATTGCCGAGACATGCTCGAAGATGCCCTCAGGTCGCATCGCTTTACGACTGGTGACGCTGACATTGCCAAATGAACGGGCATTCGATGGTCGCGTGCCATCGCAGATGCCTTTTGAAATGGACAGCCATCCGCAGGCCGGCCAGACGAACGCTTTGCCGTCAATGCGCTCGCACAGCTTTTCGACGTTGCACTTGTTCCAGCGGCAAGTGTTGACTCGTGTGCGAAAAGATATCAAGGAGTGGTGCAGCGTGGAAATCCTGTCAATTCTGAAGTCAGCAAACGAAATCACTCCTGCAATTGGAGCACTAGTGCAGAGACTCTTCGACGATCTACCCGAGCATGCTGTGACGAAAGCGACGTATCCACTTGAGTTTGTTGGTCGAAGTCAAGAAGCTCCAGTGAATCCGCTTGATTTGTTCAAGCGCGAGTTTGAGAAGGGCGATTTGCTTAACGTTCATCACTGCAATGACGTGTATTTCGTAGTGGAGAAAAAGAACAAAGATGCGGATCAAGTCGACGCGGGCTTTGAGATCCCGTACTGGGCGTACTTTGAGCTGGCATCTGATCACGTTAACTTGCGATTCCACCACCCGGACTGCTTTGATGCGTCCTCCAACGGGTTCAACCGGCTGGGAGTTCTGACTCGCCTTCAGCTTGGCATTCGTGCGGTGTGTCGTCGTGTTAACCAGTTTTTGCTGCTGTTCCAACTTCACGAGACTCGGACGTGCAATGGGCTTCTGCTGCCACCAAAAGGGAACCAACCATCAAGTCCACGCTCACCGAAGCGGCGGGCTGAATCCCAAGGTGCGATGGATACGACGAGCGGACAGATGAAACAAGCGAGTTTCTTTTGGCCTGGCCAATTCGAGTGCGACTTGCGCTACTCTGCAATTTTTAAGCTTCACGAGCGTTTAGCGCCCAATTTTGCACTGAATATGTTGTGTACGTCAGCGCTGGAGCAGTTCCAAGTTCACAATCGACGCCATATCTTTGTCTACCGCGATCGCGACGGCCACGTGTTCTACATGAAGATCAGCATATTCTACGACAATACACAGCCTCCGGTTGGCAGCCAACCGACCGAAGAGCGACAAGAACGCAGTGGTCTATCTAGATCGAATACTGGAGGAAGCAGTAATGGAGGTGCAACGAATTCGACAGCAACAACAACATCGGGTGTCCCTGGAATTCGACTCGAAGTGTTTGGTGTATCCGAAGCCGGTGAAGAAGTGACGCATGAATTATGCCGCCTACTTGAGAGGAAGCTCGATGAAGCCACGCAGGTCGTGCTTATGAAGTTGTTGGCGCGGAACACCAAGTTCCAGCTGAGTCCGACAGACCTAGCGTTCTTGTGTCCGCCAGCAGCGGCGCCTGTGAGCACAGTAGATTACATTCTCCCTCGCGAAGTGGCTGATTGTTGTACACTGCTGCACTACTTATCGCAAACGCTGAAGTTGACGCCATACATCCGTCCTGTAACGAGTGGCGGCATACCCTCTCGAAATCCACGAGATTTTGCGAATAGCTCGTTACGTGGGGCTCGTCGCGGGAGTTTGGTGTCTGCAGGAAGCACCGTAAGCTTACCCAACGAGGAAGTCCCCAAAACAATAGCCCAAGATTCCAGTGAAGAAGAAGGGAAAGAAGCATCCGTTCTACAGGATAGCGCTCACACGCATCCCGCTTGCTTCGGTGGCTACCAGACAGCATTGACTAAGTTCCAGGGAACGTTTGACGTGGCTATTCGCTCCCCTATTTTCTTCTCAAAGGGTCATGAAGAAATGAAGAGTGTTGCTCCTTCTGGAGAAAATTCAGCCACGGCTGCACCTGAAATCGTGGCTCAGGCGACCTACGTTCTCAATCTGAACCCGGACTTGCGACTCTCGCAAGGATTTCTGTCTCGAGTTGGGAAGGGCCTTGCTCTCATGCGAGTTGATCTTGTACGGAATAGTCCCATCAGAACTGAAACGGGAGACAAGGACAAGGAGGATACGGAGCCAAGGGTGAAGCGTATGCGTGATATTCCGGGACTCGCTGAATTGTATTCCGATTCTGGCGACGCGGTCGATACTACACTTGTGGTGGCTAGATGTCAGGTGTGGATTCGTGGTTCTATCCATACAAAAGAACTGAGTCAGGTGGTGGAGACTTTCTTAGATGAAGCGCTGTACGATTACCATATCGAATCGATCATCAAGAAGCTCGAGTCAAGCAACGGGCGACATGATGCAAACAGTGACGAAAGCCACGTGAAAACAAGTACTGTATCTGATACTGAGGGGAGACTGCCTTCGGATGTGGACAAGTTGGTATCGCTCTTTAAGAGTGCGAGTCGATTGCCTTCATCGTCCGTTACTTGTCTCGGAGTGAGCCAATCGATTGCGCCTTGGGATCTTGAAAATGCTGTGACGCAGATTCGGAGCTTCCTGTGCTGCCTACCTCATCACCTACGACCAGCAGTGTATGCGAAATCTAGACTGTCTGGTAACTACGAGTGTGTTGCTACTCGCAATGAGCTAGTCCATGTAAGCGAACCAATTCCAGACAAGTTCCGGCTGGTGGTGAAGCATGTTGACGTGTCGGACCATTGCGAAGACGTGGACTCAAGTGACTCGGATGCAGAAACGACAGCATCAATGAGTTCAGCTCTTCATCAACTAATGCGAGCGGATTCAGTTCATTCGGAGATTTCGGATATCGACTCGGTATCGGGGCGAATGCCGCTTACATGGGCGTCCACTTGTGCAAGCTCCGATGCAATCTCGCAACTACAGACGGCGCCTTCTGTGTCGTCGACAACTTCATCGCTGGTTGGAACGATGGGAGGTCTGTCGCATCAATTGCACGTCCCGAAGAATGCGAGTTTTTCAGAGCGAGATGTTTTGCTTTATTCAAGCAGCGGGAGCAGCTACCACCACCACCAGAAGTTGGCGTCTCACGAGCATCGGGAGGTGAAGCGATCTTTCTATTACGTGGTCGACTTGTCCACAAGCAAGGGTCTGCGGGTGTACGGATACAATATGAGCCTGGCTTTGGTGGAGTCATTGGCAACGTATTTGGCTCGAGTGCTAACATGGACTATGCTTCGGGAAAAGCTGCTTCGGAGTTTGCTACTGGAGAAATCGGGAATATCAGCAGCCGCCCCCTTGGGCTCCATGGTGTTGCAACCTCGCAGTTTGTTCCTGACCATCGGAAGGACGGAACGAGCTGGGAAGGGTGTGGGGAAGAATCTTGCCGTGCTCTGTAAAGACTCTGCCATCCACTTTATTGAGTATCGAACTCCTGTGCTGTCTATCTTGCAGTCGAACGAATGGTTCCCCAGAGTGTTGGACGCCAGTCGCCTGCGGTCGATCGACGGTACCGCGCTTGGAGTGTATCTGCGTGAGGCGCAGACTCAACCAGCTTTAGAGGCGCTCGACTCACAGTACGCGCGTCCTCGAGGAAAAAGTAACTCGAACCTGGGCGTCTCAATTGGGCCGCCAAGTATTCCAGATCTCACGCGAGAAGTATCAGGACCGTCGTTATCGCAGCGGAGTTTACTCAGCAACGGAGATACGCCAGGAAACCAAGCGTCTGGGAGGACCAGGAGTGGCGGCATTGTAAGTAGCAGCAACGTATCGGACAACATCGCATCGTCTCCCCACAAGCGGTTGGGTGGACCAAGTCCTGCGTTGCCGTATCCCAGTGGGAACCGAAGTGAGGCGGCAGCTCGGATGCGTGGCGGTGCAGGAGCTGCGACTGCGCTGATGGCAGCACGGGCTCGGGCGAGGGGTGGCAGTGCCTTTCCAGGCCGCATGGGTGGACCAGGTGTCGGTGCAGCGCGTGGCAACGGGAATGCTGCTGCATTATCTGGGGGTTTTTCTGGAGACAGCGTTGCGCCATGGGATTTGCCATTGAACAACACGAAAGGACCACGACTGCAGGGTGCAGCGAGTGGAGCAGAAACCAATGCTGATGCCAGTCACGATGGTGTCCGTACAGATCGTACAGGGAATGAGTCGGTGTCTACAAAACCTGCATCGAAAGGATCGTTCAGTGGAGCGAATCGCCCTGTACGAAGAGGGTCGAGAGGTACTAATCTATCTGAGCTTGGGTCATCGTCGTCTTCGTCGTCGTTGACAGGACTGGCGATAACTACAGCACCTGCGCTACGAAGAAACACCAGCGACGCGGATCCGGGCCGTATCCACAGTTCGTGGAAGAAGCGATTGGAGTGTGCATGGGGGCCTCGCTTTTTGTTCCCTGGCAACACGGAGCGATGGGCTACGAATGCTACAACCCAGCAGCGACATTTTATCGAGCTCGAGGAAGATGAAGATCATCCCAAGAAGAATCTGACCCCTCTTCTGTTCTATTGTGCAGCACTGGAGAAGCGATGGGAAGCTTTCGAGACGCGCTCAACTAGCCACACGGTGAGCATGAACCTGTTGGAAAAGCTTGCGTCAATGCGTGCCGATGAAGAGATGGAGGAGCCTGTTGCGAAGGATGTCGTGGCTCATTTAGTGGAGAGCGGGCATCTCTTGTTGCACCAACGCTTCCGAGCTGCATTTGTGGAGCGATGGGTAGCAGCAGAAATGATTGGATTGTCTGAAGGCGATGAGAACGGAATCGTTAGTGGACGTTTGCGTGCTCTACAGTCTTGCATGAATCTGGTTCATTTGCTCAGCTATAAGCGGGAGTTCGTGTTCGATCAAGACGAATGTTCTGTGGCGAAGCTGTACACGGAGCATACTGTCTTGAGTATGAACGCAGGTGCTGGCGCTGATGTACGTGGCATCAAGCAGCAGGTTGCTGCGAATTTAGAGCCGTTGCGTCTTGAAGTGGCGAGCGAATTCTACAAGGAATACGCAGTGCATTTGCGCACTCTCGGATTCCGACGTCTTCGAACGCTAACTACTGGCAGGAGTCATGCACGTGCATTCCCTGTGGATCCCAACGCAAACGAGAGCGAAATGCCAGGCAGAGAGGGATTTTCTGAGTACTTTTACCACCCGGAGAGAGCCGCAGCGGAAGCTGGTGGCTGGAAGACAGGTGCAAGCAATGATCCACTCTCCATCGTGGTGCTTGAAGTGAAATGTGACAATCGAGGAGTGCTGCTCACTGCTGTTCTTGTAAGCTTGCACGACTTGGAACAACAAGACCTGCGTTTCCAGAATCGTTTGGCTGCCAAGGCTGGAAAGAGGACTTCTGGAGCATCTGGAGCTAGGGTGCAGAGTGTAGCGTCGTGGTTACGTGCCCAACTGCAGACTCAGGCTCTCATCTATGGGTTCACCATTCGCTACTTCCAGCAGCATTTACTTCAGTGGATTAACGCCTCGCACGATTTCCATGACGGCGAAAACGGTCAAGGTCACAGTGTTGGTAAACATTTAAGCGAAGACGACGCTCTTGTAGTGACTCCACCCCTGCCATGGAAAAAAGCGTCCACGTTCCAAAACATCGTCAAAGGACTGCAGTGCTTCTTACAAGCCTTCCCGGATCCGCCAGAAGAACCCAAAAAGCTCAGTACACCAGCTCCAGCGTCGTCACCAGCCAGACACTCCAACAGCAAGAACACCGTGATGACCAGGACAAACGATTCAAGAGCTTCGGGAGTATCCTCAACGTCTGCACCCCGTAGCAGTGATGGCCATCGACCACCTGTGCGAGCTGCAGCGAGGTTTGCTCGACGGGCAGCAACCAAACACCAGCAACCAGCACACAATCTGGCCCCAACCCAGACGAACACCACTCCAAAGCCTGCACCTTTGTCGCTGCTTTGGCGTGATTGTGTGATACGCATGGTGGCGGTAAAGCTGCAACCTGTGTCACTGCAGTCGAACTGCTCGGAGCTGATCATGGTGCAGATTTTGCTGCGGTACATTGCATGTCATGGCTCGCGTTACGAGTTGCTGGATCTACTGCAGTTCGGTACACCGGATGCAGTCGTGTGTCATTCTTCATCAGGAAGCTTCTTCCATCGACCACCGTCCACGATAACACCGTCGACACGTAAGGTGGAGCCGTTGGGCGGATATTCACTGGTGATCACAACGCAGCCATTGACGCGCAAGCCTCTGGACAAGGATTCGGTGCAGCTTTTGCTGCTCAAGAGCACGCCCTCGGAGCTAGGTGTCGGCAATGGAGTGCTACCAGTTGAACGAGCGCTACAGGAAGCTCAGCTTTTCACTCGAGAGCTGTTCCGCGTTGCTGCTCAACACTATGAACGCGATCTGCTATGGTCTCGACTGCTATTCGATGATTCGCGTGGCCCTGGTGCTGATGTGGCTCGCACATTGGCGCTCCCAGCTGACTTGTTTCGTGTCGAAGTGGGGCCGCAGCAGCTTGAAGAGTGTCTGAAGCTGTCGATCTGTACGCCTTTGGAGGCGTTAGACCCGCGACTGGACGAGTTGCTGCGTGTGTCTGGTGTTTGCTGGCAGGAGCTGGCACTGCGGCTTCGAGATATCTACGCAGACCAGCTACGGGAATTCCAGTTCCAAGAGGAGGACGAGAACAGCAGTCACCTCTTGTTATTGTGTCCTGACACGTTTGATCTCATCATCCACTTGACATTCATCACCCCCAAGGACCCAGTGATAGCCACAGAACAGGGAGAGGCCAGTGCTAGTGACGGCGAAAGCAACCATACCTCAAGTGGCAATGGCAGTCACAGTAGTAGTATCAACGAGCAGTTCAGCGAGGGTGGCTTCGAGGACGAGTCTGAGGGCAACGTACGTGTGGAGATCTGCCGTCGTGAGGAACCGACCAACAAACAGTTCACGTTCGCACAGCGACGCTCGATCTCCGAGTTTGTCAACAGCATCGTGCACTGGCAGTGGCGGAGTCTCATCTACGATTGAATTGCTCTGCATTTTGACATGGCTATATGCAGGAAGTTGAAGTTGTATGTGTAATTGGCAAGAAATGTCAGCACCACATTAAATCGCTCACGATTAAGACAAATAAAGTCTCCAGTGATCCATTACAACCGCATGCTCCACAACTATCAGCGATTTGAACGAAACGTAGCGTGCCAAGAAAGTATCGACAACTTGTACTTTAGGGCTTGTCTCTATAATACGTCTACACACAGATCAAGACAGATGTCCCGGGCGAACTTGGCGTCGGCAGGCTACAACACCGGTCGCCAGGAGTTGCTGATTGTTGGCTTGCACATTGCCAAATTGATGAGACCGTGGGTTGGGACAGCCAAAGGAGGGGCAGTAATAGACAGCGGGGTGAACGATAGCCATTGGTACAGAAGGTAAGACTAAACACTAGCAAGCTTCTCACGGCCACTAATTGCCTCCGGACAGCCTCGGTCACTTCCTTGGATGGACTCACGGCAAATTGCCGACGGCAACACGAGAACCATGCAAGTCATTCAAAGCTACATCAAGACAGTCTCGTTCGCGATACAAAAGTGGATTTTCCAAAATGCGTTTAAATAGGTTTTTGAAGTACCGCCTTTCTGACTTTCTCCTCATTTTACTAAGAGCGTGCGGGATAAGCTCAATGTGGCCCACATATCATGCCAAATGATAGTCTTCATGCGCAAAACCAGCCCACCTTTGATGGGCATGCACTACAACCACTTCAGTATCACTTGGTGCAGTGATCACTTTGCTATTAGACCGCCGCCGCCCTTCGAGCCCTCCCAGCAGCACCTTCCTCATGACCACCGCCGCTCAGTTCGACGTGGTCTGGCGCCAGGACGCGCTGGGCCTGCGCTTCACGCCCAACGAGAACGACATGCCTGTCGTGTGCCAAGTGCCGCCGAACGCTTGTCCCGCGGTTCTGGCGTCTCCATTGGCCGTCGGCGACGTACTCGTAGGTTTCGATCTGCAACTTCAGGACCAACCGGACGGCATGCAACCTGTTAGGGCATTCGATCAATTAGTGACGGTATTGCGCCGTGCTAAGCTGCCAGTCACTCTGCGTTTCCAATCGCGGGAGAATGAAGTCCCATCAAGAATCGTCGAGTCCGACGTGGCGCGTCACTACACCTTTACATGGGCAGCACAGTCACCATTGGGCGTGTCCTTGGCCATGGATCCATGCGCTTTACACGCTGCAATCACAGCTATCGACCCCAACAAGATCTCGCCAGCTTTCCAGAACCTCAAACCGGTTCTGGGTGACGTGCTGGTCGCTATCTCCCCTGACAATAACGAAGGAGAAGCCACACGTCTCGACGAGATGCGCTTCGAGGACGTCATCCAGACACTACGTCAGTTCCCGAAACCATGTCGTCTAACCTTTGCGAGACTCGTGGAGGAGACGCCGTCCGACTCATCCGGATCAGAGGAAGACAATGTGCTTTTCCCTTCAAAGCCAGTAGTTACCCGCCCGAAGGCCACCTCATCTTCGAGTGACAGAGGCGAGGAAGCCACCGACATTTTGAAGCCTCCGTTCCTCACACGTCCACTGCAGATACGTCCCAAGTCTCGATCCAGAGCGGGGTTACCACCTCCGAGGAAGCAACTACCCATTTCGATGCGTCAGAGCTTCCGTATTGACGCCCCCAAGCCGACTGCTACTCCTACCTCTGGTGACAGTAGACCTCATGCTAGTTCGACCTCGTCCAACGATGGCAGACCCCACTCTGGCTCAAACGCCGATGACAGGGGATTCTACACGGTCATGTACAGTGGAGGAGCTGTGGGCTTGCAGCTACGCGACTGCACGCAAGACGACAAGAGTCTCACCAAGAGCAATGACAAGACTAATCGTACGAATGGCTACACTGTGGCGATCCGGAACGTGACAGACCCGAAATCTGCCCCCGGTCTGGAGATCGCGACGCCCGACGACCTGCTCATGGCTATTGGCCAGAAGGATCTGCAGCACATGTCGTTCGAAGAAGTGCGCAAGGAGCTTGGGGCCATCCAGACACCTACACGGTTGCTGTTCAAGAAACGCAAGCGCGTCGTGGGCAATTCGTCGGGTGGTTCGCTAGTCGACACGTTGTTGCTCTTCCTCGTGTAATAACTCGAACGAGTTACCAAAACAAACGTAAAATGCATTGAAACAGCCAGCAGATCGTGCCAAACGGCAAAGGATACTCAGATTTTGTTTGCTTTTCATTTTTTTTGGTGTGAAATCGTCAATGAAAATATAAAATTCTGGCTTGAATAATGAACTCTTACAAGTCAACGGTTCGTGGGCTGGGTATCTTCTACCGCAGCTTCTGCTTGACCTTACGTGGATGTGTTTCCGAGCGAAGATAATTTGCAAAACACAGTCCGCCAGACATAAGACTTCATCAAAAGGCAACTTCTTGACATGGCTACATCTGAACTTGAAGTTGCCTTGCACTCTGACATGGCTACATGCTCATTTGAATTCCGAAGTTGTCAGTGATGCAAGCACTTGCATTGCCTAGTTTCACTGCATATCGCCTCAAGTGTCCTCGTTGCGGTAGATTCATCGCCCTAGAGTCATTGCATCTCCAACCCACGCTCAAATTAACCAGCACCGGAACGTTTTATCCTGTCGACTAATAAGAAAATCGGCTTTCGATTGGTCACATTTCCCTCAACCCTATAAAAAATAAATTTAGATAGAAATTGGGTCAAAACCATAACGCAGCTCTTCCTGCTCAGGTCTCCTTCTGCATGCCCGAGACTGCCGAGCCGCCAGCCGCCATGCCCAGCACTGAAGAGCGCGTCGCTCTCCGCACCTCGGGTCCGAGCAGTAGTTCTCTCACGTCTCCGTCACGCGCGCGGTTGCTGGCCACGGCGGGCGTGGGCAGCGGGCCCGCAGCCCCCGACGAGGCCCACGCTGTTCGACTCAATGTGCTCAACAGCAGCGTACAGGAAGCCCGAGACGCCCGTAACTCGCGCCTCATCATGTGGGCCATCTCACTGGTCAATTTGCCGCAGATCGTGGTGGCTGTCATCATCCTGGCGCTGCATTGGCAGGGCGAGACGCTGTGCTATCGTATCCAGGTGTGGGTATTGCTACACACTATCCACCTCACGCTCACGTTGCTGCTGGAATGGACACTCTACTACTTGAATGGTGTTCGCAGCAACACTGCCATCAGACTTCGGGAACAGTACATGGCTCCACTGAGCCAGCTCAAGTACGGGCTGGATCTGGCTGGTCTCTTCTGGTTCTTGGTGGGTAATATGTGGGTCATCAGCGACGGCGCGCGCTGCGACGACGGGTCGACCATGTACCAGTTGGCTCTGTGGATGATTGTGATCTCTTATGCCAAGATCTTCCTGCCCTGCTTGCTGCTGTTGGCGCTACTGCCGATCCTCTGCTTCTGTCTACCTTGTGTCATTCGACTACTGAGTCGATTACAGGACCCTATGAGGGGAAAAGGAGCGACCAAGGAGGTGAGGTGGATGTTTAAAGTTGTTATATGTGTGTTTTGGTGCTAATATTTTGTGCTGGGGGTAGATGATCGACCAGTTAGAGACCAAGACGTACACGGCCAATATGTTCCCGCCTGAGGACGCGTGCTGCTGTATCTGTTTGAACGACTACGAGGCGTCACAGTCACTGCGTGTGCTACCGTGTGCACACCATTTCCACAAAGACTGCGTGGACGAGTGGCTGTTAGTGAACTCTACATGCCCGACATGCCGTAAATCCATCTTCGACACAGCAAACTCTGGAGGAGCCACAACAACAACCGAGGAAGATATACTACGACGGGTGTGATGGCTGAGGATGTTTTTATTCGCCAAGGAGTGATACTACTCGACTCTCATATTTTCAGTTAATGGTGTTGGTATTCCTAAGTAGGGCTCGTATCATTTTTTTGCGTGCTACTTGTGTGTAGCCATTTTTTTATGAGCTTTGTGATGCTGGAAATATTAGCTCTGGCTCAGTCATTGCCAGCGTCTGCTTGCATTGCTGCAACAATTCTGTGAAAAATATTCATACAGCAGAATAGGTAAAATTCCTTCTAAGTGAACAAAAAAAAAAAAACTGCGGACCTTCGAGGTGCCTTGTGCTTTCGTTTATGAACTCGTCTACTTTGATTGCTTCGTCCTTTGACTCTCCAGCCTCGTCATCGAGCTCGATGCAGGCTTCGACGGGGCCTTCTTCTGTTACGGGAGACTTGCTGATATCGTCCATAGTGATCTCTTCGAGGAGTCTGGTAAATATGAGAGTCTCGCCATTTAGAATGAACAGATCTGGAAACGCCTTTGATGCCTTCGCGCTGGCACTACAGTCGAGAGGATTGCCTCTAAAGTCGAGAACACGAAGACTGGGTAACTTGGCTGCCAGCTCGACGAAGTCGATGCTTCTGATTTGGTTGTTCTGTTCATGCAAAGATCAGAAATCTGACGTTGACTTTTTTTAGAACCGGTCTAGACGTACTGCAACTGATAGTTCTTCCAGTGCTGGCAAGCGAGGTAGAGTGTCTGTCCCAATAACAAGGTGTATCAAGTTAGATATTCACATTTTCCACTAATATTTGATTAGCCCACGAACCAAGGGAAGTGAGTTGGTTGTTGGAAAGGTGAAGACAACGCAGCAATGGCAGTGATGGTAGTTCTTCCAGTGACCGTAGCTGTATCAATTAGTAAGTAACGGATCATTTTTACATTACAACAGACCAACTTTACCTCATTGTGGGCCAAGTTGAGCTCAAGAAGGTTCACGCAAGACTCGAGTTGGGCTATTCGGCGTATCTTCATTTCCGAGACGTCTAGTAGCGCGACCAAACTCACGTCATAGTGACCGCTTCGGCGTTTGATGATGTCCGCGGTCAACTCCATGGCCAAACTGTGTCGGTCGGTGTCGATTCGCTGGAGTCGGTACCGGGTGAACGACGAAAATACTCGCGCCAAGGCCTTCCAGAATCATCCGAACAAAGCCACGAACGAAGCTCGTGATGTATCTATGGCTGCGTGCAAGACAACTTCAACTAAGGCCGATGGATTGCGATAGTCAGTGTTGTTAGTGCCAGCTTCACGTGGCATTGAAGCTGTGAGCTGCATCCAGCAATGCGGGGCGCTGTCGACTCGGTCACGGTGGCAGACTCAATCACCCGCAGCTTCAGCTGAACCGGCAGGATACCGGGACCTCCATCGTGTCGTTGACTCAAGCTGCTTGGGCTCGATGCGCTGCAGCTTTACGTCGTTTAACAGAGCGGCGCGATCTTCAATGGTGCGATCGGCCGACACGCAAGGTTTCATCGATTGACGCTCGACTCGACTCGCCAGAACGATTCAACTTCAAGCTGATGCTCCATACAGACTCAGTAATGCTGCCTAATACCTAACGAGATCTACAATACAGCTTGTATTGCAGTACATGCTGTGAGCCTCAGTTTTGCGAGGTGGCAGCAAGACGCTTCTTCTCGCCCAGAGAGGCTGACCACACAGGCCTATTGGACAAACTACAGCTACCCCATACACTATATATTACACCATGACCAAGTAGGAGACTGCATATCGCGGCCACGTAAGCCCGATGCAACAGAAATTCCAGGCCGCGACGGCTCGCCAAAGACCATGCACCAGCAGTACAAGGCAACTTCAACCACCACCCACTTCGGGTCCCACTGCCATTGGGATGCTCAGCAGCAAATTCGCTTCGTAAATTGCAATCTATTTCCTTGAATTCGGAGTGTATCAGCAGTGACGTCCAGTCTTTTAAATAAGATACCGAAAGTGCCAATTGCCAATGTTCAGAGCTGAAGCTTTGCCACCCGTCTCAAGACATTATAAGGAAGACTGAACATTTACTCTAGTCGACACCACGTGCAGAACAAAGCTGTTAATGCTATTGTCGCAGCAAATTAACGCGAGATCATGGTTAATCGCGTCGTCCCGCACTTTTCAAGCGTATGCACCACCAGTCAGGCCATGCAAAATGGCGTCAACTTGCCTAGAAGCTCTGATTTCCATCCCAGCGTTTAACGCGGGCCATCGCCTGACACGCAAGGGAACCGATGACGTCGCCGGCGCTTCGGTCGACCGGCGTCAAACCAGGCGTGCTGCAAAGCTCAGTCTCTCCCCACCCGGCAGAAACGGGGCCTGTATATCGCTTCAACGTGGCTACGTCTCTTGTTCGCAGTGCCCTCCAGCCTGGAGTCCGGCCGATCGCTGAGCAGCAGCGACTCGACCTCCTCGAACTCTCATTCCTCAATTGGCGGCGTCACACACACACTTGTTCCAGCTCCGGTCTTTTTCTTCACCTTCGCTTCGTTGACCACAATGACCGACCCGTCCGTCCAGCAAGTGACGCCACCCGCCAAGAGCTGCGGTGACAAGATCACCGGCGTACTCATCAAGCACTGGACAGTGCCTGACAAGCACCGCAGCGACGAGCAGGACGCGGCCGAGAAGTACCTCTTGACCGCGTACATCTTCGGCAAATACTATACTCTACCGTGGGTCAAATTCAACCGCTGGTACCTCTTTTTCGCGAGTTTCATGGTGCAATTCTGCATCGGTTCGCTCTACTCGTGGTCGGTGCTTAACAATCCCATCGACTTCCTCATCTACGGCGACAAGACTAAGGGAATGGCTGTCAACGCCTTCTACATCGCCGTCGGTGTGTTCGGCACTTCGACCGCCATCATGGGTCCGTGGATCGAACGCAACGGTCCACGCGCCGGTGTGGTGCTCGGTGCGACGTCGTTCTTCATCGGTTGCGTTGTCAGCTGCATCTCGCTGCACGCCGAGTCGATCGTGGGTCTCTACGTCGGCTACGGCCTGTTCTGTGGCTTCGGTAGTGGTTTGTGCTACATTTCGCCCGTGTCGGCACTTCAGAAGTGGTTCCCGGACTACCGTGGCGCTGCTGCCGGTTTCGCTGTAGGTGGATACGGTGCTGGTTCCGTCGTGTGGGGTAAAGCCTACCTCCCTATCATCGACGCGACCAGCGTACCCGATCTGTTCATCGTTATTGGATGCGTCATGGCGTTCATCCTCTTCTGCTGCGCTGTGTGTCTGCGCAACCCGCACTTCGACTTCCACGTCGGCGGCTTGAACATGCACGGCGAGGCTGTTCGTGAGGCACAGGAGTCGTTCCAGCGCGGCGAAAAGGTGAGCGTCATGTCCTCGCACGAGTACGAGGCCATTATGACCCCCACCGCTCGCGACGTAGAAGCGATGGTTGACCCGGCCGCACAGAACACCAACTCTCAAGTGAAGAAGATGACGCTGATCCAGGCCATCACGTCACCGGACTTTATCTTCCTGTACATTATGTTCTTCGGCAACCAGCTCTACGGCCTCATCGTGCTGTCCAAGCTCTCCACGATGTGCACTACGCTCTTCGGCAAGACGGCCGACCAAGGCGCCGACATCGTCTCCATCAACGGCGTCTTCAACTGCGTCGGGCGTCTGCTGTTCCCGCTCATCTCGGATGTGATCGTGCGCAAATTCAACGTCGAACATGCTTTCGGACGCAAGTGCCTCTTCTACTACGCTCTGGTCTCCCAGATCACTATTATTGCCATCTTCCCGACGCTGATCCGTAATGAGAGCTACACGGCGTTCGTGGTGCTGGTGTTCCTGCTGACGCTGTCGTACGGCGGCGGCTTCGGCACGATCCCGTGCTTCCTAACGGACATGTTCGGCGCGTTTAACATCGGCGCCATGCACGGCTTCATCCTGACGGCGTGGTCGCTGGGCGGCGTGGCCGGTGGCTTGACATTCAATGCCAAATACAACGACGCTATTAAGAACGGCAGCACACCCGTGGACGCGTACGTGGACAGCATCTACAAGATTTTGATCGTGGTGTGCGTCACGGGTATCTTCATCTTCATGGTGCGCACGAACCCGCGCGACCGGTTCGATAAGGGCTACCACTACAGTTTGTTCGGCAAGCGTGTGATCAGCATTAAGCCCAAGGACACAACGGCCAACAAGGAGGGCTTACTGCAGAGCGAGGTGTAAGGATGCATGGGTATTCGTATAGTAAATGTAGCTGAAGAGAAAAAGTTATCGAAAAGTTAATGAATTGATCGATTGAGTCTGAACTTGCACGTTGAAGTGGTCTTCAGCTAGAGAGATGCCAAGTTTCTTGTCACCATTTGCATCGTTTCTTGTGCGGTCTTGTCATCAGGTTCAACCTTGAACCATTCACATGGCCCCAAAGCTACAGCGGTTCTAACGCTGAGTTTGATGAAGTGGGGTGAAGTCACAAGCACAGCATTGTTGTGTCCACACTGCGGTGGATATTGGTCAGGATGGTGCGCTGGCAACCACGCAGCAGCGATGACTTCGCCCGCCACGGCGTTGTAGTGATAGCGATCGCGAGGGCTTCTCGGTGGTGCAGCAAAGCGGTGCTGCGATGACGTTAAACAGGTGCGAGGATAGTGCTCAGCATCTTGCGTTTCCTCGTATGAGCATGTTCGTTGACACTTTTGGGTCAAGGATGGCTTTAATCGCCTTGCGTTCGGTGCGATGACCATGATCACTAGTGTTAAACCAAGTTGAGCGTGAGCACTACAGCAGTGCCACCGGAAACAACTTGGGTTTATGATACATGTAGAAGGCAAGTGAATCCACACAGCGCTACAATAGAGACAGCGGAGTCGTGGATTTTTCGCCGATCGCACTAGAGGCGACGATGAGTCTTTGGAGTCCTTGTGTAAAAAATATGGGGAATGAGACTTCACGTCATTCATTGGATTCCAGACCGGAACGTGTAGCTCAACGCGAATCCACTCCGTCGTCAGAGAATAAAAAATCTGGACCGAAAGTGTTGGTCTCGGAACTGTTACTGGCTGTACTGAGCGTTGCCGTCTCTGATATCGCCGTCCAGAGGGCACGCCATCGCTCGATACGCAAGGACTGCCTTGTGTCGTGTTGACATGTCCATCCCCACGCCGCTAAAGTAAAAGGCGAAAAAGTCGATCAGCAGATCCCACACTCGTTTAACTGCGAGGAATTAGCCTTTTTGTAGTGTAGCTGGGTTGCCCATTCTGGGTGAGCCCCTGTTGCTTTGTCTGAAGTTTCCCACGGCATCTCGCCATTGCCCGCGCGGCATGATAATTGAAGGCCCTGCAGCCTTCCAACGTGGTCTGTGCACGACACTTGCCTTCAACTCAAATTAATTTCTTTTAGTAAAACTTACCACGAAATCAGTCAGCATCTGTCCCCATACAAAATCCCAGTCAATTCTAGCCGGCAAATCGTTGGCATCTCCAGAAACGCAAGTTTATATCGCTTTTTGCCATCGTTGAAGTTGTGGCATGTTGAAGTCCGTTGCAGAAATCCCAAGCCTTCGTCCTTGGCAAGTGCTCGACACCATGAGACTTCGGTTGCCAACTCCTCGCTGCCGAACTGCTCATTCCTCAATTGGCTCGCTGCCCCGCAAGTCAAGTTTCGCTCCGTCCCGACGTCTCCGTTCACAGTCTAGCCATGGGCGTAGAAGATCCCGCCACCGTCGACCCCACGACCCCGAAGAAGACGTGTCTGCGGTCCACGAAGGACGCCATCGCCGGCCACTGGACCGTCCCGCCCAAACACCGCACGCCTGAACAGGACGCAGCCGAGGCGTGGCTCATCACGTGCTACCTCGGCAAGAACCGCTACTTTTCGCTGCCGATTCTGCCCTTTTCGCGATGGTATCTCTTCTTTGCCAGTTTCCTGGTGCAATTCTGCATCGGATCGCTCTACTCATGGTCGGTCTTCAATAAACCCATTGATCTCCACGTATACGACGACAACACAGCCGGTCGCGCTGTCAATGCCTTCTACATCGCCGTAGGAGTCTTCGGCACGACGACAGCGATCATGGGTCCGTGGATCGAGCGTCACGGCCCACGCGCGGGCGTGATGCTCGGCACGACGTCGTTTCTCATTGGCAATATTATTGTAGCCATCGGCGTGCACTACAAGGCGATCGCAGCCATTTACATCGGCTACGGCATCTTCTGCGGCTTCGGCATGGGTCTGTGCTACATTTCACCCGTCTCGGCGTTGCAGAAGTGGTTCCCCGACTACCGTGGCACAGCTGCAGGCTTCGCTGTGGGTGGATATGGTGCTGGATCGGTCGTGTGGGCTAAGGTTTATCTGCCGTGCATTGACGCAGTGGGTCTCTCGTCAACCTTCATCCTCATCGGCTGCGTCATGGCCTTCGCCATGTACGTGTGTGCTGTCATTCTCCGCTCTCCACACCACGAATTCGTGGTCAGTGGCCTTAATATCCACGGAGAGGCAGTGGAGGAGGCGGACGAACTCATTCATCGCGGCGAGAAGGTCAGCGTGTTATCGTCGCATGAGTATGAGTCGATTACGACTCCCACAGCACGTGACGTCCAGGAGATCGTGGAGCCTACGACAGCTACCAATACACTGGTGCGCAAACTCACCCTGATCGACGCTATTAAGACCCCCGACTTCTTGTGCATGTACATCATGTTCTTCGCCAATCAACTCTACGGACTCATTGTGCTGTCCAAACTCTCGAGTATGTGCACGGATATCTTCAACAAGAGCGCCGACCAAGCTTCAGATATCGTATCAGTTAACGGCGTGTTTAACTGCTGCGGCCGCTTGATGTTCCCGCTCATGTCGGACATCTTCGTGCGTAAGTTTAACATCGAGCACGCCTTCGCCCGCAAGTGTCTGTACTTCTACGCACTGGCGTCGCAGGTGGTCATCCTCGGTGTCATTCCGACGATCATGGAGAACGAAAACTACACGGCATTTGTGGCTGTTATCTTCATCTTGACGGCCAGTTATGGTGGAGGCTTTGGAACCATTCCGGCCTTCCTAACAGATATGTTCGGCGCGTTTAACATTGGTGCCATGCACGGGTTGATCTTAACGGCGTGGTCAATCGGTGGTGTTGTGGGTGGTATCTCGTTTAACCACACGTATGGAGACCAGATCGCTGATGGTTGGGAGATCCACGAGGCCTACACGTACACAGTCCGCCGCATCTTCGTCATTCTTATCATCGGCTTCGTGGTGCTCTTCTTCGTGCGCACGAACGCAGCAGATCGCTTTGAACCCGGTTACCACCTCAGTATCTTCGGCCGACGTATTGTCAATATCAAGGGCAAGCAGGAACCCAAGAAGGAAGAGCCACTACTTGACGCGGCGTAAGGTCGACGCGAATGAATGGGATCAGAAAGCCTTGACAGATTTATTCTTTCGAGTGGAGAGTGTACATGTAGTTAATTTTCATTCAGGAATTCATGACGACACTTGAACTTATGACAATGTTTACCTTAGACACGGTGATACAAAGCAATCTTTTGGCGGTAAAGTCGATGCTAACACATGACCCACAAGCTACAAGACTGGGCGGGCATCTCTTGGCTTACCCACACGTTTACAGTCTCACGCGCACCCAGCTGCTCATTTGCTTAAGCTTAACGACCCACAGCATCACTACAAATACGACGTATGGTACCAGTACCAAGATTATACGTTCAAACCCTGCGCGGTGACAAGAACTAAGTGAAGCTGCTTAACTACACAATATTCATACCCAGCAAGCCCCAGCAAACTATTGCGAAAGTCATTTTTATTTGCACGTTGACCGTGGATAATTCTTTGTTGTTGGTGTTGTTTTTTTTACGCTCCGGATAAGAACTCGTCGGATCCCTTTGTCTATCCTATTTTACTCTCTACACAACTTACGCTGTGCCTTGACATCTGCAAAAATAAACATCCGTCAGTAATGTTGCATCTTTCTATTCCGCTTTGAATGATAGAGAACCAGCTCAAATTGTTGGCATCCTCATTCCTCAATCGGCCAGCTCCTGACAAAGGTTCTAGTTGATTGCTGGTCTACTAGCTTTTAAAGCTATCACCTTCTCAGAGCTCACAAGTTCCGTCGAGATGGCAACGAAGAGAGAAGCAAACAAAACCTGCGTTCAGTCGGTGCAGGCAAAAATCGCCAACCACTGGACGGTGTCAAGGAAACCTTGTTCACCCGAACAGTACGATGCTGAGGAATGGCTGTTCACCTTCTACCTTGGCAAGGACCGGTATTACTCCTCGCATTGCTTGCGATTTTCGCGTTGGTACCTCTTCTTCGCCAGTTTCCTGGTTCAATTCTGCATCGGCTCACTGTATTCGTGGTCCGTCTTCAACAAACCCATCGACGATCATGTGTACAATGACCCAAAAGCTGGTTATGCTGTGAATGCATTCTACACTGCAGTTGGTATCTTCGGTACGACAACGGCTATCATGGGTCCCTGGATTGAGCGTAATGGTCCACGCTATGGTGTGGTGCTCGGCACGTCGTCGTTTCTTCTTGGACATGCGATTACAGCGATTGGTGTAGCTCACAAGGCAATCGCTGCAGTTTACGTTGGTTACGGTTTATTCTGTGGCTTTGGTATGGGTCTATGCTACATCGCTCCAGTATCAGCACTACAGAAGTGGTTCCCCGACTACCGAGGCACAGCTGCAGGCTTTGCTGTGGCTGGATACGGTGCTGGAGCTGTGGCGTGGGCGAAAGTCTATCGTCCGTGTATTGAAGCCGTCGGCGTGTCCTCAACCTTCCTGGTTGTCGGTTCGGCTATGGCTGGCACCATGTACCTCTGTGCTATTGTACTGCGCACACCTCACTTGGAATTCACAGTCGGTGGGTTAAACATACACGGTGAAGTTGTGGACGAGCCTGAAATGGCCACAGGCAACGCTGAACAAGTCACATCGAAGCACCGCTACGAATCTGCAGCATCCGAGAATGAAATCGACTTTATCATCAGTACCAACGCTCAAGTACGAAAACTCACGTTGATCGACGCCATCAAAACTCCAGACTTTCTCTGCATGTATTTGATGTTCTTTGCCAACCAAATCTACGGTCTGGTGGTGCTGTCCAAGCTGTCGAACATGTGTACGGATATCTTCGGTCGAACAGGCGACGAAGCTGCCGACATTGTGTCCATCAACGGCGTGTTCAACTGCTTTGGTCGACTCTTCTTCTCGCTGTCTTCGGATCTCGTGGCTCGCAGCTTTAACATCGAGCACGCCTTCGCGCGTAAGTGCGTCTTCTACACGACTCTCATCCTCCAGGTGGTGATTGTGGGCACCACACCGATGCTTATTCGCAACAACCAGTACACGGCGTTTGTCGTGGAGATCTTTGTCTTGACAGCGAGTTACGGTGGCGGTTTTGGCACCATCCCGGCCTTCCTGACCGATATGTTTGGTGCATTCAACATTGGAGCAATGCACGGACTAATCCTGACTGCGTGGTCGATCGGTGGAGTTGTGGGTGGCATCTCGTTTAATAACGCGTATAGTAGCAAGATTGAGGCCGGGGTGTCCATCAGTGAGGCGTACATTTCGACAGTGAACGACATTTTCATCATTATCGTCGCTGGACTGGTGGTTCTGCTGTTTGTCCGCACGAACCCTATGGACCGCTTCGAGTCCGGCTACCACTTCAGCATTTTCGGACGACGAGTAATCAGCATTAACGGCAAGGAGGAACCTCCAAAGAAGGATCCGCTGCTACAGATTATCTAAGCGTTCAATGCGATGCGTAGTACTTGGTGTGTTTTCGCTTAAAAACCAGAGCTTTTATTTGATTGTGTAGGTTGAATTAGTGTTTAAATCCTTACATGCAGACAGACAGGGTCTGGATCCAGGACTATCCTTGCTGAATGAGCATTTTTGCAGCGCATTTTCATTCGTCGACTCCGTCCGCTTCCAATCCACATACAGCATTTCCAAAAATATCGTTTAAAAGAAAACACTACCAGCCGACTTCTCCTACATATAAAGGCAATAATTAACCTTATCGTCCTGCGTAACTATTACAAGCAGCACTACACAAATGGTATAGGAACTAGAACTTAGTATTCCTGGAGTAATAAATACTTCGAAGTACGTCGCAAGGTTAGTTCTCTGGATATTTATATCCAGAGTCTTAGTGGCTTCGGAAACCCTCGGATATCCTGTATCATATTATATTTGGTTAATTTTGTAATAACTCAATACCTTGAATTGACAAAAGAAGAGCTAAAGCGACGAAATACTTTATAACCTTTTAAGATCCGATCCAAAAACTGGTGAATGTTGACCCAGTCGGACAAGAACGACATTCCCGCAACCTCACCGATTGTGTACTCCACAAAAATGAGTGAATGTTGACCCAGTCGGACAAGAACCACATTCCCGTAACCTCACATATTATAGGGGAAGCTGCTGGGAAGCGATCTACGGAGAAGGCAATGTTGCCTTGCTAAGGAGAGGCGGGAGTCGTAAGGGGTGTCGTTGTATAGCCAATTAGTGTGACGTCTATCTAGCACATATATAACCATGATGTGGGAGGGTTAGAAGGCTACTTTGCCTTGCTAAGGTGTGGTCATGGAATTTGCCATTGGTTCTGAAAAATATTTTAAAGCTGTACTCACCTCAAATCTGTGGGGAAGGAGAGAGTATTAGCCGCGCGAAAATTTGACAAGTCGAGTAAAACATGAGTTTTGTGCGATTTTTACTAAAATACTTCCATCGATAGCTTCCCCTCGGCCGAATACTACTCAAAATTTCGTCGAAGGCGCCACTCTGGTCTCTCATTCCCTTCGTGACCGTACTGCAATGCACATATAGCGGACATAATAAGTATATTATAGTTTTCCTGCTTGTTGGGGGCATTTCGCTTTAAACGGATGCCGGTATTAAGGATATAAGCTTCTGCCTCATCCCATGTATTACTTTTTCGCATAGCCAACAAGCTCCTAGCTAG